AATTCTTTCATCCCTTTTTCATAGGTGTGTTTCCTGAAGACATATTAGATCTTGATTTAATTGGGGCATTGAATTGTTGCTACCTGTAAACCGCCTTCAGTTGCCTTTGGGCTGAGAAAGGCGGTATACAAATACCGTAAATAAATAAATAGTGATAAATAAATTCGGTTTTCACCCCACATCCACACAACTGCTCCCCATATGGGCTCACCTTTCAGGCTGGTGGAAATGCCTAGCTCTGATCCACTTACAATTCCCTGCTGTTACTTTAACATCCTATCACAGTGGTTCTCAACCTTCCTAATGCTGTGACCCCTTAATCCAGCCCCTCATGTTGTGGTGACCCCCAACATATTGTTTTTGTTGCTACTTCATAACAGTCATTAAACTACTGTTATAATTCATAATGTAAATATCAGATATGCAAGATGTATTTTCATTCACTGGACCAAACAGGGCACAAATACCCAATGCAACCACATGTAAATGCTAGTGGGGTTGGGGGAGGATTGATTTTGTAATTTGGGAGTTGTAGTTGCTGGGATTTATAGTTCACCTATAATCAAAGAGCATTCTGAACTCCACCAGCGATGGATTTGAACCTAATTTGCCACACAGAACTCCCATGACCAACGGAAAACACTGGAAGGGTTTGGTGGGTATTGACCTTGAGTTTGGGAGTTGTAGTTCACCTATATCCAGAGAGCACTGTGGACTCACGCAATGGTGGATCTGGACCAAACTTGGCACAAATACTCAATATGCGCAAATGTGAACACTGGTGGAGCTTGGGGAAAATAGACCTTGACTTTTAGGAGTTGTAGTTGCTGGGATTTATAGTTCATTACAATCACAGAACATTCTGAACTCCACCAACGATAGAATTGGCTCAAACTTCCCACATGGAATCCCCATGACCATCAGAAAATACTGTGTTTTCTGATGGTCTTTGGTGACCCCTCTGACCCCCCTTCGCGACCCCCTCAGGGGTCCCGACCCCCCAGGTTGAGAAACACTGTCCTATCATGTTTATCTGTTGTATTTTTGAAGTCCATTGAGCTGGGAAATTCACCAGTGTCGCACCTCAGAATAGGTTCACCTTGCTGAGAACACCAAACTGAACACAGCCAGAAGTCTTTATCTATATATATAAAAATGCTCTGTGCATAATGAGTTCCTTAAAAACAAAAGAACCAATGAACGACATCACACCAAATTTGGCAACAAAATGTCTCACAACACAAGGAGTGACCATCACTCAAAAAATTACGATTTTGTCATTTGGGAGTTGTAGTTGCTGGGATTTATAGTTCACCTATAATCAAAGAGCATTCTGAACTCCACCAGTGATGGATTTGAACCTAATTTGCCACACAGAACTCCCATGACCATGAAGGAGTGACCATCACTCAAAAAATTACGATTTTGTCATTTGGGAGTTGTAGTTGCTGGGATTTATAGTTCACCTACAATCAAAGAGCATTCTGAACTCCAGCAACGATGGAATTGAACCAAACTTGGCACACAGGCCTCTCATGACCAACAGAAAATACTAGCAGTGTTTTGTGGGCATTGACCTTGAGTTTGGGAGTTGTAGTTCACCTACATCCATAGAGCACTGTGGACTCAAACAATGATGGGTCTGGACCAAACTTGGCACAAATATTCCATATGCCCAAATAGGAACACGGAGTTTGGGGGAAATAGATCTTGACATTTGGCAGTTGGTAGTTGCTGGGTTTTATAGTTCACCTACAATCAAAGAGTGTTCTGAACCCCCCAATGACAGAATTGGGGCAAACTTCCCACACAAAACCCCCATGACTAGCAGAAAGCGGGGTAGAAAAATAAAGTTCTTCTTCTTCTTCAGCTAACACCTCCCAACAAAGGATTTCCCCAGGCAGGAAGCAGCCAGGCTTTGAAGCTGGTAGGCTTTTCAATGCTAATCAAGCTGGCCAATTGCAACATTCACACGTGCTTCAAACAATTCTTTCTCCCACCCTGGACATTCCACAGATATATATATATAAACCCCACTTACCTAGTTTCCAACAGACCTCACAACTTCTGACGATGCCTGCCACAGATGTGGGCAAAACATCAGGAGAGAATGCTTCAGGAACACAGCCAGACAGTCCAGAAAATTCACAGCAACCCTGTGAAGGATTTCCTCAGAGAAACAACATTTGACAAAATAAAGTCAACACAGGAGCTTTTTTGTTGAGTCCCAGAGCCAGAGAAGCAGATGGCGGAAACAGAAGAACGGCCTGCTTCTAGGGAGCGTGCTCGCTCCATCCATGTTCAACATCTACACAAATGACCAGCCACTGCCAGAAGGGACGGAGAGCTTCATCTATGCTGATGATCGTGCCATTATTGCTCAAGCAGGGAGCTCTGAGATGGTTGAACAGAAGCTCTCCGAAGCTCTAGGTGCTCTTACTGCCTCTTACAGGGAAAACCAACTGATCCCTAATCCATCTAAAACACAGACATGTGCCTTTCACCTTAAGAACAGACAAGCATCCCGAGCTCTGAAGATCACCTGGGAAGGAATCCCACTGGAGCATTGCAGCGCACCCAAATACCTGGGAGTCACTCTGGACCGTGCTCTGACCTACAAGAAGCACTGCCTGAACATCAAGCAAAAAGTGGGCGCGAGAAACAATATCATACGAAAGCTGACTGGCACAACCTGGGGATCACAACCAGATACAGTGAAGACATCTGCCCGTGCGCTATGCTACTCTGCTGCTGAGTATGCATGCCCAGTGTGGAACACATCTCACCATGCTAAAACAGTGGATGTGGCTCTTAATGAGACATGCCGCATTATCATGGGGTGCCTGCACCCTACACCACTGGAGAAATTACACTGCTTAGCCGGTATTGCACCACCTGACATCCGCCGGGAAGTAGCAGCCAATAGTGAAAGGACCAAGGCAGAGACATCTCCAGCTCATCCCCTGTTTGGGTATCAGCCAGCACGTCAACGACTTAAATCAAGAAATAGTTTTCTTAGATCTACAGAGACACTTGCTGGAACACCTCAGCAAGCGAGAGTCCAAAAGTGGCAGGCTCAAACCCAGCACCTCAATCCGTGGGTGATACCAGATGAGAGACTCCCCCCTGGGCACACAGAGGACTGGGCGACTTGGAAGGCGCTGAACAGACTGCGCTCTGGCACCACGAGATGCAGAGCTAACCTTCAGAAATGGGGCCACAAAGTGGAATCCACGACATGCGAGTGTGGAGAAGAGCAAACCACTGACCACCTGCTGCAATGCACCCTGAGCCCTGCCACATGCACAATGGAGGACCTCCTTGCGGCAACACCAAGTGGCCAGATACTGGTCAAAGGACATTTAATCAACTACCAAGCTTGCAAATTCTGTATTTTGTCTTATTTGTTTGTTTTTGTTAAAAATGTAATACAAATGTCTGGTTGCTCCAGACACGATAAATAAAATAAATAAATAATACATTTTCATCCACCTTGTTGAACCAATTACTCTTTAATCAGCTCGTATTTTTGCCCCCCCCCCCCCACTTACTTCTTTTGTTGCTTGATGCTTGTCTATTATTGTTATGTTTGTAAATTGCATTTTGTTATCGGTCTGCTTTTAATTGTATGTTCCCTGGGCTTGGCCTCATGGAAGCCGCCTCGAGTCTCTTCAGGGAGATGGAGGCAGGGTAGAATAATAAAGTTCTTCTTCTTCTTCAGCTAACACCTCCCAACAAAGGATTTCCCCAGGCACGAAGCAACTAAGGCCATGTAAGCCCCAAGCAGGTGGTTTACATGGGGCCAAGCCCAGGGAACATACAATTAAAAGCAGAGCAAAGGAACTGGGGGGGGGGGGGGAGGCAAAAAAAAAAAAAGCAGCCAAGCTTTGAAGCTGCTAGGCTTTTCAATGCTAATCAAGCTGGCCAATTGCAACATTCACACGTGCTTCAAAGAGACAAGAGTTCTTTCTTCTACCCTGGACATTCCAGATATATAAATCCCACTTGCCTAGTTTCCAACAGTCCTCACAACTTCTGAGGATGCCTGCCATAGATGTGGGCAAAACATCAGGAGAGAATGCTTCTGGAACATGGCCAGACAGCCTGGAAAACTCACAGCAACCCTGTGAAGGATTTCCTCAGAGAAACAACATTTGACAAAATAAAGTCAACACAGAGTCGAGTCAAAAAAATAAGACTTTATTGAAAGACTGTGTTATAATTGGAAACCGAGAGTACGCCGTTATCAAAAAGCTACTTCTATTTTCCTGAGGCTGTTTATAGTAAAGTTCATGGAAATAGTAAAAGAGAATAAATTAATGCCAATGCAGACTGCAAGGGTTTAAACCACAGATTGGGGAGGGAGGTGGAAACCTTGATCAAACCAGCGAAAATGGCAATACGTTGCACGGAAAACTATTTGGAAGACGGATTCCACCGAAGTGTGATCTCGAGGCCTAGTCGTGACAGAGAAGACGTTGCACGGAAAACGATTTGGAAGATGGATCTCGAGGCCTAGTCGTGACAGAGTCGTGACAGAGCCATGTTTATTGCCAAGGGACTTGCATTCATTGGTTTGTCTCAGAGAGACAACGGATACCGACAGTTCGCGGATACGATTCGGAAGCGACTGAGCGACATCCCCAAAAGTGCAGAAACGCTGGGGACAATCACAGATACAGTGTCTGAGACATTCAGTAAAGTGCACCATCTGCGCACACGTAAAGGCACTTTGTCCTCTCCTCACACTGGTTTTATTGCACACTAATCGCTTGACAGAAAGCAGCAACATTTCTTTTTATTTATCAATATATATATATATATATTTGAAAATTATTGTCAAAATTCTTCTGTATGTTTTGCAATAATAATAATAAACCAGCAAATGCTAAAATTAATTAGACAGTCTCAGTGGCTCTATTGCAGGCATGGGCCAACTTTGGCCCTCCCTCCAGGTGTTTTGGACTTCAACTCCCACAATTCCTAACAGCCTACCGGCTGTTAGGAATTGTGGGAGTTGAAGTCCAAAACACCTGGAGGGAGGGCCAAAGTTGGCCCATGCCTGCCTTAAGTATTGGAAAGCTTGAAGCAGAAAAGGTGGGGAAACCTCCAGAGACCTGAAAATATTTTACCCTAAACATTTCACAGCTTCTCTTGGCACCTAATTTGAGGCTGTAGGAAGCTAAAGTGGCCATTTGCGTACACATAAAAAGCCCGGAATACAGACAAGCCCAATGTGCAATTCAGTAGTTTGCTGGTCCCTTAGGATTCGAGGTCAGACCCAGAATCTAGAGAAGAATCTTTGCCTGAGATATTTTATATGCTTGTATTGGAAGATTTGGATTCACAGAACCCAGGTGAGGAAACCCAGGCCGGACCCCTTCCCAGTTCAGTCCCAGCCTGGCCTCGGGGTCCTGTTTTCACAGTTTCGGGTCATGCTATTGCTAAGAACTTGAGTGGGAACCACGAGAGCAAAGATGATCTTCCCGCACGTGGTTTGCACATGGCGGAAATTGTTTCACGGATTCCCTTCGTCAAACGTAGCGCTGCAACCAGGAGAAGTGAAGTTTCGGAAGAAAACGATGGCGGAATAACTCCGAGGAGTCCCATCGCCTCCGTTCCGTGGTTGGTGACATGACGCAACCCAGCCGTCATTTGTAAAGCGCCATCTTCTTGCTCTGGTACATGTACATGTAGGCGTCGCAGAAGAGGCGCTTGGCCACCCCTTCCATGTCTCTAGGCTGCTGCATGGCCAAAGTGGCCACCGGCATCTCCAGGTACTTGGCCACCTCCGGGCACAGGGTCACCGTGGGGATGTTGTAGCCATTCTCATCACCTAGGAGCCAATGGAAGAGAAGGGAGTTAGTGCTAAGGAGCCACAGATTTGTTGATGACACAATCCCCATCTGAGATCGTCCCCTGCCTTGGGCGACAAGGGTAAGATGGGTTGTTGTAGGTTTTTCGGGCTGTATGGCCATGCTCTAGAAGCATTTCCTCCTGAAATTTCGCCTGCATCTGTGGCAAGCATCCTCAGAGGTTGTGAGGATGCTTGCTACAGATGCAAGCAAAACCTCTGAGGAGGGATAGCCAAGACTCCAGAGGACAGGAGCAGGATTCAAAACGATCTTGACAGATTAGAGAGATGGGCCAAAACTAACAAAATGAAGTTCAACAGGGACAAATGCAAGACACTCCACTTTGGCAGGAAAAACAAAATGCAAAGATACAGAATGGGGGATGCCTGGCTCAAGAGCAGTACGTGTGAAAAAGATCTTGGAGTCCTCGTGGACAACAAGTTAAACATGAGCCAGGAATGTGATGTGGCGGCAAAAAAAGCCAATGGGATTTTGGCCTGCATCAATAGGAGCATAGTGTCTAGATCTAGGGAAGTCATGCTACCCCTCTATTCTGCCTTGGTTAGACCACACCTGGAATATTGTGTCCAATTCTGGGCACCACAATTCAAGAGAGATATTGAGAAGCTGGAATGTGTCCAGAGGAGAGCGACTAAAATGATAAAGGGTCTGGAGAACAAGCCCTATGAGGAGCGGCTTAAGGAACTGGGCATGTTTAGCCTGAAGAAGAGAAGGCTGAGAGGAGATATGATAGCCATGTATAAATATGTGAGAGGAAGCCACAGGGAGGAGGGAGCAAGCTTGTTTTCTGCTTCCTTGGAGACTAGGACGCGGAACAATGGCTTCAAACTACAAGAGGAGATTCCATCTGAACATGAGGAAGAACTTCCTGACTGTGAGAGCCGTTCAGCAGTGGAACTCTCTGCCCCGGAGTGTGGTGGAGGCTCCTTCTTTGGAAGCTTTTAAACAGAGGCTGGATGGCCATCTGTCAGGGGTGATTTGAATGCAATATTCCTGCTTCTTGGCAGGGGGTTGGACTGGATGGCCCATGAGGTCTCTTTCAACTCTTTGATTCTATGATTCTATGTTTGCACAACATCAGGAGAAAATGCTTCTTGAACATGGCCATACAGCCTGAAAAACCTACAACAACCCAGTGATTCTGGTCACGAAAGCCTTCGAGAATACAAGGGTAAGATGGCCTCCAACTGTGCACGGGCAATGCGACTTGGATGGGATATCAGAGAATCCTAGATCTGGAAGAGACCCCTAGTCCAATCCCCTTCTGCCAGGCAGGAAGACACAACCCAAGCCCTCCTGACAGATGGCCATCCAGCCTCTGCTTTTTTTTAAATGTCAGAAGCAAATTGAGAATATACTGCAAGTCACTTCTGGTGTGAGAGTTGACCATCTGCAAGGACATTGCCTAAGGGTCGCCCAGATGTATTAACATCCTGTGGGAAGGTTCTCTCATGTACCTGCATGGGAAGCTGGAACTGATAGACAGGAGCTCACCCCATCTCACGGATTTGAATTGCTGAGCTTCAGGTCTTCAGGTCAACGGTTCAGCCAGCACAAGGGTTTAACCCAGGGGTCCTCAAACTTTTTAAACAGAAGGCCAGGTCATCAGCGTCTCCTTATTCTCAAGCATTGTCCAATTCCATTGTCAGGTCATTCGATTTCCTATATTAGCTACTCTGTATTTGTGAACGTTTGCTCAAATAGCCACGTTTTAACTTGCCTCCAAAACGTCAAGAGGGAGGGAGCAGATCTGATCTCCCTAAGGAGGGCATTCCATAGCGGAGGGGCCACCACTAAGAAGGCCCTGTCTCTCATCCCCGCCAAACATACTTGTGACAAAGGTGGGACCGAGAGCAGGGCCTCCCCAGATGATCTTAAAATCCTCAGTGGTTCATAACTGCTTCTTTGGAGACTAGGACGCAATGGAACAATGGCTTCAAACTACAAGAAAGGAGATTCCATCTGAACATGAGGAAGAACTTCCTGACTGTGAGAGCCGTTCAGCAGTGGAACTCTCTGCCACGGAGTGTGGTGGAGGCTCCTTCTTTGGAAGCTTTTAAACAGAGGCTGGATGGCCATCTGTCAGGGGTGCTTTGAATGCAATTTTCCTGCTTTTTGGCAGAATGGGGTTGGACTGGATGGCCCATGAGGTCTCTTCCAACTCTAGGATTCTATGATTCTAAGCAAGTAAGTTCTACACTGCTCTATAATGCAGTTTCAGAATGATTAACTGCATTGGACTGGATAATAGGGCAGTGTAGACTCCCATAATAGAGTTCAATGCAGTTAACATGCATACTGAAGTTAGATTACATGGCAGTGTAGAGTAAGCCTTACTCCTCACATGCTGTTGATTCACTACAATACGATGCAACCTTTCCTTGTGTGATCTAGTCATAAGGCTCTAACTGCTTCCCATTACTGCAAATCAGGCATGGGCAAACTTTGGTCCTACTCCAAATGTTTTGGATTTCAACTCCCACAATTCCTAACACTCTCAAGGAGGAGAGTAATACTTTCATTCCCAAATCATGGCACACATTTCACATCCTTGGGGATCCGAATCTACATACACGACCAGAGCTAGTGAAGCACGAGGTAAACGGAAAGCTTACCGTGCCGGTCGGCCATGCTGTCGAAAAACATCCAGCTCTCTTTCTCTGGCCCATACTTCACGAAGGAGACGTAGTGGCTGGTTTCGATGCAGAGCACGGCGAAGAGCTCCAGCTTCTCTCGAGGGACCTGCACTCCGCCGCAAGGGCCGTCCCGGAAAAACTCCTGGGGGATGTGCAGCTTGGTGGTCGGGTGGCCTTTGCGCTGGTAGTGAGAGTGGACCTGCCAGAGCAAAGAGAAGGGAGCCAAAGGGCTGATGGTAAGACCTTGCAGCGGAACTGAGTGCTAAGTTACCGCTTCCTGGCCAAAATGTTCTAAGTTGATTTCAAGACAGAGAATAACATCAGGAAGGCATTCAGAGACAAAACATTATGTCAGTGACTGAACTCTGACGATGCCAGCCACAGATGCGGGTTAAATGTCAGGAGAAAATGCTGCTAGAAGACACTTGTCATACAGCGAGGAAACCACGCAACACCCCGGCTGTCAAACAGATTGGATCGACGGGAGAAACATTAAGGTTGGGAGTCAGCTGCATTAAATTCACTACTGACCGAAAAGTCATACGTTCGAAGCCAGCCCGGGTTGGAGTAACCTCCCGACCATTTGTCTAGCTTGCTGTCGACCTTTATTTATTTATTTAGCAGTTTTGTATACCGGTCTTCTCACCGCCATTCGAGGGACTCAAGCCGGTTTCCAACATCAATATTACAGTCAGTTATTAAAACATCATATTCTAAATCGCCCCAAAACATTAAAATAGCAAAATACAGTCATATGATTACAGTGCTCAGTCGTCATCAAAAACCATTATTCGTCGTCATCCATCCATATCACAGGATCATGGCTCATTCGTCAAATGCCAAACCCCAAAGCCAAGTTTTCACTTGTTTCCTGAACGTTAAGATAGAAGGGGCAGTTCTGATCTCCAGTGGAAGGGAGTTCCAGAGTCGAGGGGCCACCACCGAGAAGGCCCTGTCTCTCGTCCCCACCAGCCCCGCCTGTGAGGCCGGTGGGATCGAGAGCAGGGCCCCTCCAGACGATCTTAGCAATCTTGATGGTTCATAGGGGAGGATACGTTCGGAAAGGTAAATTGGGCCGGAGTCGTTTAGGGCTTTATAGGTTAAGACCAGCACTTTGAATTGTGCTCAGAAGCTGACTGGCAGTTTGTCTTGACTGTTCTAATGTAGCACAAATCCTATGTAAAATCATACTACGTATTTTTGACATTAATATTGAAATCTGAAATATATACAGAAAGTCTTTACTTTGAAGCTCGAAAGACAGTTGCATCTGTCAAGTAGGACATTTAGGTGCCACTTATGTGGGGAGGCTAATTTAACTAATTTTACGACACCATAAAACTCTCCAGCAGCATGCAAAAGAATGAGGAAGTACTCCATCGGTGTCACAAGTAGACGATGAAGCAACAGCTCCCCCAGTGGCTGTAATTTGAGCATAACCTCACGAAGCTGGAATGTTAAATTGCCTCTGCATCTGTCTATATATGTGGTATGTCTAAATGGCATTGAATGTTTGCCATGTATATGTGCATTGTAATCCGCCCTCAGTCCCCTGCGAGGTAAACATAACTACTGTAAATAAATAAATAAGTAAATAAACAAACCCCAAAACGCCTGAGTCTCCATCCAACATCATTTAAGGGTATTATACACTGTTGGGTGGGCGTAATTTCCAAAAAAGGGGAAAAGCATTCAAAGTGGTAAAGCAGCAGCAACAGCATTAGCAGCTGATCAGAAGCTTCTAGTGCCCACAAACAGTGCATTCAAAGAGTTGTTGTAGGTTTTTTTCGGGCTATATGGCCATATTCTAGAGGCATTCTCTCCTGACGTTTCGCCTGCATCTATGGCAAGCATCCTCAGAGGAGTGAGGTCTGTTGGAACTAGGAAAAAGGGGTTTATATATCTGTGGAAGGACCAGGGTGGGACAAAGGACTCTTGTCTGCTGGAGCTAAGTGTGAATGTTTCAACTTACCACCTTGATTAGCATATAATGGCCTGACAGTGCCTAGAGCAAACTTTTGTTGAGAGGTGATTAGATGTCCTTGTTCAAAGTGCATTCAAAGTGCATTAACTTATCTAGATAGGAAAATAAACAGATATATCTATCTAGCAAACGAACTCACAGCAGAAATCTTGTCTCCCTTCATGTTCACAGAAGAACAAAACAACATTACAACATTAAAATGGAGGACTCAAGGGCTTGCCATGTGCTCAGAAAAAGAGGCGTAGCAAGCAAGCTAAGGCATCCATCTATCTAACTCCTTGATGAGGACTACAAGCCTGCTCAGGATGTGACTTGGACAGAAAAATAGCCCCACAGACACTGGGTTGTTGTATGTTTTTTGGGCTGTCTGGCCATGTTCCAGAAGCATTCTCTCCTGATGTTTCACCTGCATCTATGGCAGTAAGAAGCCACACCTTGAAACTAGGAAAATAGGTTTATATATCTGTGGAATGACCAGGGTGGGGCAAAGAACTCTTGTCTGTTGGAGCTATGTGTGAATGTTTCAACTGACCACCTTGATTAGCATTTGATGGCCTAGCAGTGCCTGGAGCAATCTTTGGTTGAGAGGTGATTAGTGGTGTGTGTAACAGGAAAAGGGACTCCACACTCCTTCCCTGTGTCTTAGTGGGATGCAAGGAAGACAGGAGAGTACCTGGCTGCAGCAAGAGTCGCAGTACTGCTTCAGCCCCATGTCTGCAAACTTCTTGTCTTTGAAGCAGGCAGAGCATTCCTGGGTGGCGACATCTCCGCACACAAAGCACTCCCTGGGACCTGCGGAGGAAGCCAGAGGTCAGGCCTTGCACCCCACTTGTGTTTCGATCACACGAGTGTGAGAGTGGTACACTTAGCCATGCATGCAATCACAGCTTCATGGCTCTCAATACACATCTTCTTACAACAGTCCACTGTTGGAAAGATCAACGTTCTTCAAGACTCTACTAGTTATTTGTTTGTTTATAATTCAGATTGCTTATTGAATGGTAAATGTGTGTGTTGGTATGAAGCTTTCCTTAACTCTATGTTGTGCAAGGGGGTGCAGACCATGGGATTTAAAGATGGGCTTAAAGCCAACCTCAAACATTTTGGCATAGACACCAAGAACTGGGAAGCCCCTGCATTGTTGGAGCATTGTTGGAGGGCGACTAAAATGATCAAGGGTCTGGAGAACAAGCCCTATGAGGAGCGGCTTAAGGAGCTGGGCATGTTTAGCCTGAAGAAGAGAAGGATGAGAAGAGATATGAGAGCCATGTATAAATATGTGAGAGGAAGCCACAGGGAGGAGGAGGGAGCAAGCTTGTTTTCTGCCTCCCTGGAGACTAGGACGCAAGGGAACAATGGCTTCAAACTACAAGAGAGGAGATTCCATCTGAACATTAGAAGAACTTCCTGACGGTGAGAGCCGTTCAGCAGTGGAACTCTCTGCCCCCGAGTGTGGTGGAGGCTCCTTCTTTGGAAGCTTTTAAACAGAGGCTGGATGGCCATCTGTCAGGGGTGATTTGAATGCAATATTCCTGCTTCTTGGCAGAATGGGGGTGGACTGGATGGCCCATGAGGTCTCTTCCAATTTTTTTGATTCTATGATTCTATGATTCTATGTAAGAAATCAGTTAAGAGTGTGTGGCTTCAAACTACAAGAAAGGAGATTCCATCTGAACATGAAGAAGAACTTCCTGACTGAGAGAGCCATTCAGCAGTGGAATTCTCCGCCCTGGAGTGTGGTGGAGGCTCCTTCTTTGGAAGCTTTTAAACAGAGGCTGGATGGCCATCTGTCAGGGGTACTTTGAATGCAATTTTCCTGCTTCTTGGCAGAATGGGGTTGGACTGGATGGCCCATGAGGTATCTTCCAACTCTATGATTCTATGTGTGTGTCAACTGTAAAATAAGATGCACAAAGCTGATTGGTCAGGCTATGCCCAGGGAGCTGGCCGAGCCTGGGACTTTTGGATACTGTTACATTTTTTTTTCAGGCTTGAGCTATGCAGGTTCTTGCAGAGAAGCAGCAAGAGGCAGTTTGGAGTGTGCTCTCGCTTCATGACCTGCTGAAGGGGTTTATCCACATGGACAGAAGAAAGACCAGTTTAAATCTCTCATAAAAGGACATTTATGAAACTGATCACATTATATATAAGAATCAGAGTTGGAAGAGACCTCATGGGCCATCCAGTCCAACCTCATTCTGCCAAGAAGCAGGAATATTGCATTCAAATCACCCCTGACAGATGGCCATCTAGCCTCTGTTTAAAGGCTTCCAAAGAAGGAGCCTCCACCACACTCCAGGGCAGAGAGTTCCACTGCTGAACGGCTCTCACAGTCAGGAAGTTCTTCCTCGTGTTCAGATGGAATCATGTTCAGATGGAATCATATGTTGTTCTGAATTAGGAAGAGTAAACTACTTGTTCTATACTGTTCACCTGCGTGGTATATTTTCTTTCTCTGGCAAGGCAGTGTGTGAGATGATCAAACGTAAACTACACGTGGTTTATTTCCCATTACACTACATGCATCCCCATTTCTCCCCTTTCCCCACAAATAACTTACTATCCAGAAGCAGGTCAGTGATGTCCAACTCCAAGGAAGGGATAATTTTGCTGAACATTTTGTATTCTTTCCCGAAGCGCGGCATTTGAAGGATAAAGCAGGACGGAATCTAAACAGAAGAGCAAAATTCAGACTCAGAGGCAGATGAGCTACAGCCCTTCTCCAAGGCATATCATCATCATAATCATCGATTTATATGTATTGCCCACCTCTCCTTTTGCTTTGAGGTGGGGCACAACACAGTCAGATAAAAGCATATATTAAAACATCTATATAAATAAAAATGTAATGTTTGTTTGTGGGATTAACAGAACTCAAAAACCTCTGGGGGAATTGACACCAAATTTGGACACAAGACACCTAACAACCCAATGTATGTCCTTCACTCATAAAACACTGAAAAACACAGCAGAAGGGACTTAAAAGCCCCAAAAAGCTAAATGATGAAAAGCTAATTGACAATACAGAAAAAAGGGAAGAAAGAAGGCGGGAAGGGGGGAAAAGAAAGAAAGAAAGAAAGAAAGAAAGAAAGAAAGAAAGAAAGAAAGAAAGAAAGAGGGAAAGAAAGAAGGAATGGGAGAAAGAAGGAAGGAAAGAGGTAGAGAAGGAAGAAAGGAGAGAAAGAGGAAGGGAAAGAAAAATGGGGAAGGAAGGAAAGTTAGAAAAGGAAGGAAAGAGAGAAGGAAAGAAAAAAGGGAAAGAGGGAAGGAAAGAGGGAAGATGTAGAGAAAGAGGGAGGGAAGGAAAGAGAAGGAAGAAAAGAGAGACAGCAGAAGAGAAAGAAAAAGGGGAAAGGAAGGAAAGTGATAGAGAAGGAAGGAAGAAGAGAAGGAATGACGGGAAGGAAGGAAAGAGGGAATGAAGAAAGGAGGAAAAGGAGAGAAAGAGGGAAGGTTGGCCACAGCTACGCGTGGCGGGTACAGCTAGTCTATATAAATAAAAAATGTAATGTTTGTTTGTGGGATTAACAGAACTCAAAAAACTCTTGTCTGTTGGAGCTAGGTGTGAATGTTTCAACTGACCACCTTGATTAGCATTTGATGGCCTGGCAGTTGTTTGGCGTGGCTTGTTGCTGCCTGGGGCAATCTTTTGTTGAGAGGTGATTAGATGTCCCAGATTGTTTCCTCTCTGTTGTTTTGCTGTTGTAATTTTAGAGTTTTTTAATACTGGTAGCCAGATTTTGTTCATTTTCATGGTTTCCTCCTTTCTGTTGAAATTGTCCGCATGCTTGTGGATTTCAGTGGCTTCTCTGTGTAACCTGACGTGGTGATTGTTAGAGTGGTCCAGCATTTCTGTGTTCTCAAATAATATGCTGTGTCCAGGTTGGTGCATCAGGTGCTAATCAAGGTGGTCAGTTGAAACATTCACACCTAGCTCCAACAGACAAGGGTTCTTTGTCCCACCCTGGTCATTCTACAGATATATAAACCTATTTTCCTAGTTCCAACAGACCTCACAACCTCTGAGGATGCTTGCCACAGATGCAGGCGAAACATTAGGAGAGAATGCCTCTAGAACATAGTCATATTGCCCAAAAAAACCTACAACAACCCAGTGATTCCGGCCATGAAAGCCTTTGACAAAAGACAGGTATATCGGCATTTTCCAGCTTCGGCGCCTGGAGGTTATGCTCCATTCTGGTCACAGGGAGTTGCTGTTGCTCCATCAACTATGACAACTCTTTGATTGCTGTCTTTTTCCTCCTTGTTCTTTGATTGCCAGCATTTTAGGGTGTCGTAAAATACCTTCCCGCTTAAGCGGTGCCTAATTTATCTACTCACAGCTCAGCTGTATTTTAACTCCTTAGGTGGACAGTGAGCTGGGCTGACTGTCGGGTGCTCACTCCGACTCAGGCTTCGAACTACCAATCTTCTGGCTGGCAATGATCTATTGCTGCTGGTGATTAACCAGCTGCGCTAAAGCCCGTCCCATAAAAGCTAAAGCTATGTGAACCATGAGCAATGGTTAACAGGAGAGGGCTTCCAGAACGAAGGACAGGGTCTCCATAACTCACCTCCACCAGCTTGAGATCGGACGACAGGAAGGAATGCTCCACCAGCTGCTGAACATTGGGCACCACCAGGTCCTCCTGCTTGTCCATGAATATCTGGTAACAGTAGCACTCTTGCTCCTTGAGGCCCCCAGACCTGAAAGCACCAAGCAAGTGAATGTTCTCTCCGTAGCCCTTTGTGTATCCTGCCCTGCTCCCACAAGGGAGTTCCTACTACACTTAGGCAGAAGAGACGAAATGCAGAGAAATGGGAGGATGGGTGACACCTCGATTGAAAAGAGTCCGATGAAAGGGATTATTATTATTATTATTATTATTATTATTATTATTATTATTATTATCTTTATTTGTACCCCGCTAGCATCTCCCGAAGGACTCGATGCGGCTCACAAAGGCCAAGGCCTCAATAAAACAATAACATAACAAATACACAACTTAAAGCAAATCAAAAACAATTAAAGCAATATCACAACAACAAAAACAGTACACCAGAACACGATAAAACTAGGACCAGGCCAAATGTAATGGGTACAGATTAAAAGTGCTGGGTGTGACAGGTGATATGTCGGATTTTAGGGTAAGTGCAGTGTGCAGGCAATTTTTAACTCTAATAAAGTGCTTTTGGGACATATTGCTGGAGTTTTCCTATTCTGGAAAGGCACCTCGGAACAGCCAGGTCTTCAGGTTCTTCCTAAAGACTGCCAACGTAGGGGCCTGTCTGATGTCTTTGGGGGAGGGGGTGTTCCAAAGTCGGGGGGCTACCACAGAAAAGGCCCTGTCTCGCGTCCCCACCAAACGCGCCTGCAATGCAGGCGGAATCGCGAGCAGGGCCTCTCCGGATGAACGAAGCGAGCGTTTGGGTTCATAAACGGAGATGCGGTCACGCAGGTAGGATGGTCCCAAACCGTTTAGGGCTTTGTAGGTGAGCACCTGCACCTTGAATTGGGATCGGAAGGTAAACGGCAGCCAATGGAGCTCCTTAAACAGGAGGGTTGACCTCTCTCTGTAAAGAGCACCAGTTAACATCCTAGCCACCGCCCGTTGGACCAATGGAAATTTCCGAGCCGTTTTCAAGGGCAGCCCCACGTAGAGCGCATTACAGTAGTCCAGTCTAGAAGTGACCAAGGCATGGACCACCCCGGCCAGATCAGCCTTCGCGAGGTACGGTCACAGTTGGCGCACGAGTCTCAATTGTGCAAAAGCCCTCCCGGTCACCGCCGACACCTGAGCCTCAAGTGATGAATCCAAGAGGACCCCCAAACTGCGGACCTGTGACTCAGGGGGAGTGTAACCTCGTCCAGCACAGGTTGCCACCCTATACCCCGATCCAGTTTACGATTGACCAGGAGGACCTCTGTCTTGTTGGGATTGATCTTCAGGATTGAATCACAAACTGAATATGACCCAAAAGTGTGAATGCAGCAGCTAAAATGGTCAAGGGGATGGATACTAGGATAGTATCCAGACTGAAAGATGCAGTAGTTCCACTTTATCCCACTTTGGGCAGACGTAACCTGGAATCACCCTGTATCCGGTTCTGGCATTATGATTCAAGGAGATGGACAACCTGGAGCGTGTCCAGAGAAGGGAGACCAAAATAGTCAAAGGTCCAGAAGCCAAGCCCTATGAGAGGTGGTTTAGGGAGTTAGGTGTGTTTAACATGGAAAAGAAATGATTCAACACGAGACACATGTTTAAATATTTGGAAGGAGGCCCCACTGAAGAGAAGAGACAAGCTTGGTTTGGACCGGGTTGTGGCGCAGTTGGTTGGGAGTCAGCAGCATTAAAATCACTACTGACTGAAAGGTCATGAGTTCGAAGCCAGCCCAGGTTGGAGTAAGCTCCCAACCATTTGTCTAGCTTGCTGTCAACCTATGCAGACCGTGAAGTAGGAAGTGTAGGTACCGCTTATGCAGGGAGGCTAATTTAACTAATTTACAATGCCATAAAACTATCCAGCAGCGTGCAAAAGAATGAGGAAGTACTCAATCGGTGTCACAAGTGCATGGTGAAGCAACAGCTCCCCCGGTGGCCGGAATTCAAAGCATACGCTCATGAAGCTGGAAAGTTAAATAGCCTCTGTGTGTGTCTCTATATATTTTGTGTGTCTACGACATTGAATATTTGCCATGTATATGTGCACTAGCCGTCCCCTGCCATGCCCAGTCTGTGTATATGTGTTTTGTGTGTGTTTATATGCATATATGTGTGTGTATATATTTGTGTATATGTGTGTATTTGTGTATATATGTGGTTTTGCGCATGCGTTGAAATGTTTTTTGTTTTTGTTTTTTGCTTTTTAACCCTCTTCCACTCTTCCACTGTGTTTTTCAGTGTTTTTATGAGTTGTGGACACTCGTTGGCCTGATAGCTGTCTTGTATCCAAATTTCGTGTCAATTCATTTCCAGTGTTTTTTGAGTGATGTTAATCCCACAAACTAACATTACATTTTTATTTATATAGATTCTATTATTATTATTATTTTATTATGGTATTATTTATATTATTATATATTTATTATTATATTAGTCTATTATTCTATGTTGTTATTATATTTCTATGACCCTCTGCGCATGCTCAGGAACAGCAGCCTAGCTTTGCAGTGCTGGATTTCTAATAATTATTATAATTATTATAGTAATATTATTATTAATTTTAATGCATTTTATTTTATTTATTTATTTGCTTTTTAAGTCTCTCCTGCTGTGTTTTCCAGTATTTTTAGGTGTCATGGTCACTCGTTGGCCTGAGAGGTGTCTTGTGTCCAAATTTGGTGTCAATCTGCCCAGTGGTTTTTGAGTTATGTTAATCCCACAAACGAACATTACATTTTTATTTATATAGATTGTGATCCACCCTGAGTCCCCTGCAGGGTGAGAAGGGCGGAACATAAATACTGTAAATAAATATAATAAATAAATAGTTTTCTCCTTATCTGGAGACTAGGACACAATGCAATTGATTCAAATTGCAGGAAAAGAGATCCCATCAGGCAATATAATATCAGCAACAGGGGTTTGTTTTTGCCTTTCCATTCAAGTTCCCTTTGCTGTGATATCAGTTACAAGGTTAGAAGCCACATGTAAATGTGACGATCGAATCACAGCAGCACTCTCAATACAAGATTCGATCTGAAATATGGTCCTTCCCCTTCTCACTTCTTCACATCTGCAAAGAGATACACACCCCAGTCCCCATTCACTATTCAAGCTACAGCATCTCCTCACAAATATACCCATTTTGGGGTTGTTGTAGGTTTTTTGGGCTATATGGCCATGTTCTAGAAGCATTCTATCCTGACGTTTCGCCTGCATCTATGGCATGCATCCTCAGAGGATACAGAATGGGGGACAATGCCTGGCTCGAGAGCAGTACGTGTGAAAAAGATCTTGGAGTCCTCATGGACAACAAGTTAAACATGAGCCAGGAATGTCATGTGGCGGCAAAAAAAGCCAATGGGATTTTGGCCTGCATCAATAGGAGCCTAGTGTCTAGATCTAGGGAAGTCATGCTCCCCATGCTCTATTCCGCTTTGGTTAGACCACACCTGGAATATTGTGTCCAATTCTGGGCACCACAATTCAAGAGAGATATTGACAAGCTGGAATGTGTCCAGAGGAGGGCGACTAAAATGATCAAGGGTCTGGAGAACAAGCCCTATGAGGAGCAGCTTAAGGAGCTGGGCATGTTTAGACTGAAGAAGAGAAGGCTGAGAGGAGATATGATAGCCATGTATAAATATGTGAGAGGAAGTTACAGGGAGGAGGGAGCAAGCTTGTTTTCTGCTTCCCTGGAGACTAGGACAGGAACAATGGCTTCAAACTACAAGAAAGGAGATTCCATCTGAACACGAGGAAGAACTTCTGACTGTGAGAGCCGTTCAGCAGTGGAACTCTCTGCCCCGGAGTGTGGTGGAGGCTCCTTCTTTGGAAGCTTTTAAACAGAGGCTGGATGGCCATCTGTCAGGGGTGATTTGAATGCAATATTCCTCTTTGGAAGCTTTTAAACAGAGGCTGGATGGCTATCTGTCAGGGGTGATTTGAATGCAATATTCCTGCTTCTTGGCAGAATGGGGTTGGATTGGATGGCCCAGGAGGTCTCTTCCAACTCTTTGATTCTATGATTCTAAGTCTTCACATCTGCAAAGAGATACACACCCCAGTCCCCATTCACTATTCAAGCTACAGCATTACCTCACAAATATACCATTTTTTTTCCTAACCCACCAACTGGCATTCTGGAGTGTCAGCAAAGAACAGGAACTTACTGCAGTTTCAGGAGTGGCTCTATCCCCAGGATGTGATGCATAATCAGATTGAGAAACTCCTCAGGGTCTGCAAAGTCAAAGGAAAAGTACTTATTAGATGATACCCCTTGGTTGTTACGTACTCAGCTTTTATCACTGCTATTTAAATATATAATTAATACTCGAATGGACTGTGTGTAGGAAGACGGCTTAATTCTGGCAATTGTTCTAATGTTTTACTGTTTTTATGATGTTTTTATAATGTTTTACACTGTTTTCACCTAAGATAATATATATTTATGCTTTTGTTGTCAGCCGCCCTGAGTCCCTCTGCGGAGATTGAGATAGGACGGGATCTAAATGTCATAAATAAATAAATAAATACTCGTATTTAACTCTGTTTTTTTTTAAAAAAAAATTTTTTAATGCCTTTTAAAAAAATGTTAGGAGCGACTTGAGAAACTGCAAGTCGCTTCTGGTGTGAGAGAATTGGCCGTCTGCAAGGACATTGCCCAAAGGACGCCCAGATCTTTTACCATCCTGTGGGAGGCTTCTCTCATGTCCTCGCATGAGAAGTTAGAGCTGCCAGGCAGGAGCTCACCCTACTCCGCAGAGTCAAACTGCCAACTTTTCGGTCAGCAGTCCTGCCATTGCATCACTGGGGGCTCCTTTAAAAACTGTTTGTTTTAGTGCTGGTCATTGACTAAAATAAAATATTCATTCATTCATATTGTATAAGACTAAGTGAAAGCAAGTGGGATGGTTGGGAAAGGTGGTATTAAGTTAGCCAGTCTCTTTCATCAGGAAAAAACCAAACCTGCACATTTGAGGAAGAGACGGGACACATGTTGTTTTTGTTGAGGAACAAGGCTACATTATGAAGTACCGTATATACTCAAGTATAAGCCGACCCGAATATAAGCCGAGGCACCTAATTTTATCACAAAAAACTGGGAAAACGTCTTGACTTCAGTATAAGCCGAGGATGGGAAATGCAGCATCTACTTACAGGGAGCGGTCAACCCTCCTGTTTAAGGAGCTCAATTGGCTGCCGTTCATTTTCCGGTCCCAATTCAAGATGCAGGTGCTTACCTACAAAGCCCTAAACGGTTTGGGACCCGACTCACTGTGTATGAACCCACACGCTCTCTTCAATCATCCATAGAGGCCCTGCTCGCGCTCCCGCCTCCATCGCAAGCGCGATTGGTGGGGACAAGGGACAGGGCCTTCTCGGTAGTGGCCCCTCAACTCTGGAACTCACTCCCCAGGGACATCAGACATGCCCCAACGCTGGCAGACTTTAGGAGGAGCCTGAAAACATGGTTGTTCCAGTGTGCCTTCCCAGAATAAGGAAACTCCCAGCAATATGTCCCTAAATGCACTTTTTTTAGTGATCTAGGATTGTCTGCACGCTCTATGCCTCTCCAAAATTTCTATCCTGTTTATATGTCACCTGGTCACGCCCAGGATTATTTATTAAAAAATTTAATTAGTACATTTGGCCCTGCCATAGGCTTTTAAACGTCGTTGTGTTATTGTTAATGTTTATTGCTATATTCTGTTTATGAGTTTATTTATTGTTTGTATTACGGTTGCCATTGTTTTTATTGTTGTATTGTTGGCTCGGGCTCATGTAAGCCGCACCGAGTCCCTTGGGAAGATGGTAGCGGGGTACAAATAAAGTATTATTATTATTATTATTATTACTGGTAAATTTCAAAATAAAAATAGATACCAATAAAATTACATTAATTGAGGCATCAGTAGATTAAATATTTACATAAAACTGTAATTTAAGCTAAGACTGCCCAACTCTGATTAAACCATTATTCGAACCTTCTTCAGTGTAAATGTGCTTACGTATCCTTCCAATAATAGAGTAAAATAATAAATGTAATAATAATAATAATAATAGAGTAAAATAATGGATATGTAATAATATCAGTAATAATATACAAAAGTATACAGAACTCTGTTAATGTTTTACATCACCCTTTAGCACATCAGCTGCCATCTCTCACTAGCTGAACACTCACCTTATGAAACTTAACCAAGAGTAACATATAGGTGATGTAAATCATATTTCAAAGTGAAAGGTTCCCTTTAAAGCTAGGCTCTGTGGCCTTGCAGAGACCCAAGTTAGGAATTTTAGTGCACAGCACACGTGTTGATTGTGGTGATCCCATGAATTTTGCAAGGTTTTTAAGGCAAGGAACACTCAGAGGTGGATTGTCGAAGGCTTTCATGGCTGGAATCACTAGGTTCTTGTGGGTTTTTTTGGGCTATAGGGCCATGTTCTAGAGGCATGCCTCTAGAACATGGTGGCTTTAGCCATTCCTTGTAAATCCCAAGCTAAAAACTTGACTTTTCCGATGTGCCTTCAGAGAGTGACCACCCAACCCATTTTTGTAAGTCTCCACCTACAGTTTGTTTACACTTTCCCCTACACCTAACGAAGCCCATGTTATTTTGCATTGTTTATTTTGTTGTATTATGTATTTGTTGTGTTTATTTTCTATTGTCTTGAATATTATTTTTTGTTGGGGTTCAGCCTGTGTGTGAACCTGAACCTGATTCTCTGATTGTATTTCCTGATGCCAATGAAGATGTTGATTCTGAGGGCAATGTAGAAGATGATGGTTTGTGTAGTGAAACTCCTGCAGCCTTGGAAAGTGAAAGTCCAAATTCCCATGAGAATATTTCAGAGCCAAGCAGTGAACTTTCACTCCCCTTTCCTTCCAGTCTTAGCTCTCCAGAGAATCTGACACCTGGGCTCTCTAATGAGGATAGGAGAGGGCAGATTTGGCAGACCAGGGGAGAATCTCAAAGTTTATGAAGGTCAGCTAGACTGAGAGAAATGCAAACAAAGCCGGCAGGCGTGTCACGTAATAGATTTCTCAGCCTTGAGAACCTCTCGCCTGGATGCATCTTCAGACCAGGCATCATTCCAGATTCATGCATCATCCTTGGCAGGTCTCCTGATTCAAGTGGCCTTATTCCTAAGAGGTTTCCTAGTTGCTTCAAGTACGGTTAGTGGATTGCTAACAGGTTCCAGGATTTAGCAGTGTTACTGTGGGTTTTTTGATCTTTTTCATGGACATTTCTTGTTGCTGATTTTTACTGTGGCTTTTTACCTTGCATATTTCCTCTATTTTTGTACTCATCTTTCTTCAATAAAAAAGGATTGTTTTTCCTGAAGTCAAGTGTGGTGGATTGTTGTCTGAGGGTCCAGTTTCCTGCTCCGAGTTGCAACAATTTTGCTGTACTATGTTTGGGCTCGGCCTCATGTTAGCTGCCCCTAGTCCCCATTGGGGAGATGGTGGCGGGGTATAAATAAAGATTATTATTATTATTATTATTATTATTATTATTATTATTATTATCATTATTATTACTTTCTTCTGAGCAAATTCAGGAGTCTTCCTTATCGTCCTGCATCTCATCACAAAAATCCTGATGGATGTCAGGCTTAGAAACAAGGCCCAAAAATGCCACCAAAAAAAAAAAAAAGGTTTTGGGGTCTAACAGAGATTTGAGCCTCAGATCTCCTGGCACGATCACAAATACCACAGTGATCAGAACCTCAAAAGAGGCAAGAAACATCCGCACCTTTCTCAGAAGTGGCAAAGCTGGAGCACTCCCCCTTCTCCGTCAACTGGCGCCGGAGGTCCATCACGCTCCTTGCGGCCACAAAGCCATTCCTACATAGGGAAAGAAATGGTCTCCCTGTTGACAATGTAAACAAAAAAAATCCACATTCCCCAAAAAACTACAGGAAATAATAATCAGTCAGTGTGTATGCATGTTGTGTGTATGGACAGGTGTGCCAGTAGACTGTTAGGAATTGTGGGAGCTGAAGTTCAAAACACCTGGAGGGAGGGCCAAAGTTTGCCCATGTCTGCCTTCACGTCACCTGTGGTCTTACAGAGATCCCATGAATTTCCCTTTTTTCTTAGGCAAGGAATATACAGAAGTAGTGGGTTGTTGTAGGTTTTTTCGGGCTATATGGCCATGGTCTAGAGGCATTCTCTCCTGACGTTTCGCCTGCATCTATGGAAAGCATCCTCAGAGGTAGTGAGGTCTGTTGGAACTAGGAAAAAGGGTTTATATATCTGTGGAATGACCAGGGTGGGACAAAGGACTCTTGTCTGCTGGAGCTAGGTGTGAATGTTTCAACTGACCACCTTGATTAGCATTTAATGGCTTGGAAGTGCCTGGGGGAATCTTTTGTTGAGAGTGATTTGATGTGCCTGATTGTTTACTCTCTGTTGTTTTGCTGTTGTAATTTTTGAGTTTTTTTTAATACTGGTAGCCAGATTTTGTTCATTTTCATGGTTTCTTCCTTTCTGTTGAAATTGTCCACATGCTTGTGGATTTCAATGGCTTCTCTGTGTAGTCTGACATGGTGGTTGTGAGAGTGGTCCAGCATTTCTGTGTTCTCAAATAAAATGCTGTGTCCAGGTTGGTTCATCAGGTGCTCTGCTATGGCTGACTTCTCTGGTTGAAGTAGTCTGCAGTGCCTTTCATGTTCTTTGATTCGTGTACTTCAACCAGAGAAGTCAGCCATTCATTCACACCTAGCTCCAGACAAGAGTCCTTTGTCCCACCCTGGTCTTTCCAGAGATATATAAACCCTTTTCCCTAGTTCCAACAGACCTCACTACCTCTGAGGATGCTTGCCATAGATGCAGGCGAAACATCAGGAGAGAATGCCTCTAGAACATGGCCATATAGCCTGGAAAAACCTACAACAACCCAGTGACTCCGGCCATGAAAGCCTTCGACAATACATTACACAGAAGTAGTTTGGCCAATTCTTTTTTCTGAAATATTATCTACAGCACCTGATATTTGTTGTTTGTCTTCCCTCTAAGGACTAACAAGGACTAACTCTGCTTAGCTGTTACAATAAAATATGTGCAGATTTGAAATATGACATATTGTTTCAATGAATTGTATGAAAGGTGTATGGATGGGGCTTAATTTGGCTGAAGACACCATACTAAATCATTTACTGCCTGCTTGCTGAACTGTAATTAAAAGTTGCTGAACTGCAAACATTAATACGAATTGTGACAAATTATTAACTGTTGAACTTTTGGGGGGAAACAACATGTTTACATGTGTTAATCAGAGACACTGGCTCCTTACGTTAAGGACATGTTTACAATGTTAAGAAGGAAGTCAACACAGAGCTGCTTGAGTTCATCAACACCAATTACGAAGAGTCAACATCTGTCAGGAAACTGAGATGAAGTCAGGATCATTTCAATTTGACAATTTACAGCTTTTTGGAACAACACGACAGAATATTCCTATAAAAGACTTAATCTAATACTCCAAAAAGTGTGGCAGACCACAGGAGTCTGGCTCACCTGCCAATCTCAAGAGAGATGGCTTATGCCTCCTTTTCTCAAGGGAAGAGGAAGGAGTGAGATTTTGGAGTCTTGGATTTTGTGCAGGGAAATGATGCATTTTAGCATTTTGGAGTTTAGGAGTTTTGGAACTGTACGTTGGCAGATGTACAAGGAAGCAGCCTGGCCTAAGAGATGTTCTTCATGGAGGAAGAAGGGTGAAATGGTGATGTATGCATGAGGAGAGATGAATGAATGTTTATGTAAAGGTGAATGCTTAGGTTTGTTCCTGTAGGTAATTGTAGGTTGTTTGTGGAATTCAATGTAGTTACATAGAATCTGTATGTCTTTATGTCCAATGTCATTTTTTGTGTAAAAGTGTCAAGGTTGTTCTGCCAAAGTCCTGATATTCTTTCTCTTAATTGAGAATTGCAATAAAAAGTACATGTGTTTTAGTTATTGAAAAGTTATCCATAACATAGCTTCCAAAATCAGCCAGGATCTGGCTCTCTGTTCCGCTTTGCAGACTCATAGAATCATAGAATCAAAGAGTTGGAAGAGACCTCATGGGCCATCCAGTCCAACCCCATTCTGCCAAGAAGCAGGAATATTGCATTCAATCACCCCTGACAGATGGCCATCCAGCCTCTGTTTAAAAGCTTCCAAAGAAGGAGCCTCCACCACACTCCGGGGCAGAGAGTTCCACTGCTGAACGGCTCTCACAGTCAGGAAGTTCTTCCTCATGTTCAGATGGAATCTCCTCTCTTGTATTTTGAAGCCATTGTTCCGCGTCCTAGTCTCCAAGGAAGCAGAAAACAAGCTTGCTCCCTCCTCCCTGTGGCTTCCTCTCACATATTTATACATGGCTATCATATCTCCTCTCAGCCTTCTCTTCTTCAGGCTAAACATGCCCAGCTCCTTAAGCCGCTCCTCATAGGGCTTGTTCTCCAGACCCTTGATCCTTTTTGTCGCCCTCCTCTGGACACATTCCAGCTTGTCAATATCTCTCTTGAATTGTGGTGCCCAGAATTGGACACAATATTCCAGGTGTGGTCTAACCAAAGCGGAATAGAGGGGTAGCATTACTTCATCTCACAAGACCGCCTCTTACTCAATATTTCCCCAATTGTTGACAAACACCCTGTCCCACTCATTTCTCCTGACCTTAGCTTATCTTCTCGACTTTTTAGAAAATGACAGGTCGACACCAAAAGCTGGGCCTGCATGGCGCAACTGCGGAGGTGCGACATACAGATGTGGCCACAGGCGAGCAAAGAAAAAGAAGCAAATCATGACCGTTTCAGTTCAATCAAGACATGCCATTCACAACTTACTGCCGAAGGGGGTTGACGATTTTGTCTCGGAGGATCTTCTGGATGTGCCAATCCCGAGGGCGGGCCGGCATGAAGAGCATGGAATCCAATACGGAAGTGCAGGAGAAGAGGCTGCGGGTGAAACAGGGTGGGCTTGGTAACTGTACATTTTGGAGTGGACATGTTGAAGACTCAAACATGAGACCTGTTTCTGGATATATTTGACCCCCTGATTCCAAAAATGTTATGTCATGTTGTATTGTGTTTATGTATGTGTTGGCATCGAATTGTTGCCATTGTAAGCCGTCCTGATTCCCCCATATTTGAAATAAATAAATAATAATAATAATAAATAAGAACAACTTAGAAACTTGAGTACATGAATTCCAAGAACATAGGCCCCAAACACGGAAAGCACTTTGCCTGAATGCAGCATTGCTCTCAAAAGGACCAGCAGGAACTACTTTAAAAGGCCTCACCCCTCCCATAACATCATTTTGCGTGCACCTGCTTTTCTTCTACTTATCTCTAATTCTCTGGGAAAACCAAGTCTTCTCTTTGTTGCATACTCTGTCTCTGCAATGCCAATTGCCCTGACCTAGACAACCATTCATCTCCCACATTTCTGTCAGGCTCCACATCTGGCAGGTTCCAGATATTGCTTTCTCCAGTCTCTTGGGAACTGACAGCAGATTCCAAAACAACTCTCCCTAGGCCACTTCTATTCTCCTCTGGGCTGTATGAATCTAACCCAGCATCCCCTTCCTCCTCTTCTGAGTACTCAGAATCTGACCAGGCTACAATACTTACCTGAACAGCGCAGCATCCATGTAGCAAGAGTTGCAATGTCCTTGGATGCCCCTCATCCGCCCACGCAGGATGTTCACCGCCATGTCATCCCGGAGGGGAGGGGAGTTGCTCAGTACTGCATCTGGTGCATCGGGTGTGCTGGAATATTTTTCTAGTGGAGGGAAAAAGAGGGCTCATGTTAATTTCTCTATCTGAGATACAGCTCAGAAACTGAAATTTTGCCTTGTGAAAAGTTCTGCTTTCATGCTTATGGATTTATGTCTGTGATCTTGACTTCCTTGATTTCATGTACCTTGCCATTTTTGGACTATTGTTCTATTGTATTCGAACTACTGCTATTTTATAGCTCATTTTCTACTGCATTTTTGGAAAATACCCTTTTTCCCCTTTGTACATGCTTTTCCTAATAAACTGCTGGTGCTCATACTACTGGACTCTGGTGTGGTGCTGGTGAAAAGGTGTCTCAAGGTTAGAGTGCAACAGTTCATCCCCAATAATAAAGGGCCCTTCCAGACAGGCTCTACATCCCAGGTCTGATTCCAGGTTTTCTGTTTATCCCAAATTATCTGGTAGTGCGGACTCAAATAATCCAGTTTAAGCAGAAAACCTGGAATCAGATCCTGGAATATAGTGCCTGTCTGGAAGGGCCCATAGTTGAATATTCAGGCTCATTTGCTGAAAAGGCAGCACCTCCAGAGAGACATGCTGGAGGCTTAGCACAGCTGATAAATCATCAGCAATTGTTAGATCTATCAACCGAAAGGTTGCAAGTTCGAAGCCCCGGGTCGGCATGAGCGGGCCGACTGTCAGCCCTGCTCACCGTTTACCTAAGCAGTTCAAAAACAGCTTTAGCTGTAATTAGAGAAATTAGGTACTGCTAAAAGTGGGGGATCCCAGCTGAACTGTTTAAAATCTTAAAAGATGATGCTGTCAAGGTGATGCATGCCATTTGCCAGCAAATATGGAAAACACAAGAATGGCCATCAGACTGGAAAAAATCAACTTATATCCCCATACCAAAAAAGGGAAATGCGAAAGACTGCTCAAACTTCCGTACAGTGCCTTATTTCTCATGCCAGTAAGGTAATGCTCAAGATCCTGCAAGGAAGACTCCAGCAATACATGGAGCGAGAGTTGCCAGATGTTCAAGCTGGGTTTAGAAAAGGCAGAGGAACGAGAGACCAAATTGCCAATATCCGCTGGATAATGGAGAAAGGCAGGGAGTTTCAGAAAAACATCTACTTCTGCTTTATTGACTATACTAAAGCCTTTGACTGTGTGGATCATAATAAAGTGTGGCAAGTTCTTGGTGGGATGGGCATCCCAAGCCACCTTGTCTCTCTCCTGAGGAATCTGTACAAGGACCAAGTAGCAACAGTAAGAACTGACCACGGAACAACAGACTGGTTCAAGATTGGGAAAGGCGTCCGGCAAGGCTGCATCCTCTCACCCAACCTTTTTAACTTGTATGCAGAACACATCATGCGATGTGCGGGGCTGGATGAATGCAAAGCTGGGGTGAAAATTGCTGGAAGAAACATTAACAACCTCAGATATGCAGATGACACCACTCTGATGGCCGAAAGCGAGGAGGAGCTGAGGAGCCGTCTAATCAAGGTGAAAGAAGAAAGCGCAAAAGCCGGGTTGCAGCTAAACGTCAAAAAAACCAAGATTATGGCAACAAGAATGATTGACAACTGGAAAATAGAGGGAGAAACCGTGGAGGCCGTGACAGACTTTGTATTTCTAGGTGCAAAGATTACTGCAGATGCAGACTGTGGCCAGGAAATCAGAAGACGCTTACTTCTTGGGAGGAGAGCAATGTCCAGTCTCGATAAAATAGTGAAGAGTAGAGACATCAGACTGGCAACAAAGATCCGCCTAGTCAAAGCCATGGTATTCCCTGTAGTCACCTACGGATGTGAGAGCTGGACCTTAGGGAAGGCTGAGCGAAGGAAGATCGATGCTTTTGAGCTGTGGTGTTGGAGGAAAGTTCTGAGAGTGCCTTGGACTGCGAGAAGATCCAACCAGTCCATCCTCCAGGAAATAAAGCCCGACTGCTCACTGGAGGCAAAGATACTAGAGACAAAGTTGAAGTACTTTGGCCACATCATGAGGAGACAGGAAAGCCTAGAGAAGACAATTATGCCGGGGAAAGTGGAAGGCAAAAGGAAGAGGGGCCGACCAAGGGCAAGATGGATGGATGGCATCCTTGAAGTGACTGGACTGACCTTGAGGGAGCTGGGGGTGGTAACGGCCGACAGGGAGCTCTGGTGTGGGCTGGTCCATGAGGTCACGAAGAGTCGGAGACGACTGAACGAATGAACAACAACAAAAGTGGGGGAGGTGTTTTACAATGCCATAAAGAAAAATATCAGAAAATGCTGGAATGAGGAAGTCCTGACAGCCCTTTGTCATAGAGGATGGAGCGACAGCACCCCCTGTGGACTTGAGCCTAACCGTCCATTGCATCAAAAAAAACATCTCTTTCTGTTCTGTCTGTCTGTGTACTGTCTACACAAATGGCATTGAATGTTTGCCGTGTATGTGTACTTGTGATCCGCCCTGAGTCCCCTTTGGGGTGAGAAGGGCGGAATATATATAAAGTGTATATTTCAAGTAGTTGGCAATTTATTTATTTATTTATTTATTTATAACAAACCCCCCCCCCCCCAACTTTCTCTACCCCGAGGGGGACTCAAGGCAGCTTACAATTGTAACCCCACTTTTTTCTACCCAAGGGGGACTCAAGGCAGCTTGCAATCACACCACCATGGTGCTTTAAAACATACAAACATCAGTTAAAAGCATAAATTATAAATTAAACATAATAATTAAAGTTGGAAAATACATTCAATAAATCACGTCATCCAGCATGCTACACATTCTATTATTTCCCTGGGAAATGTTACCATCATAGTGATAATATAGATTAAGTTGTGTAGTAGCTTCCCCCCCCCCCCCCATATGTTTTGGTCAGTTATTTACAGTATTTATATTCCGCCCTTCTTACCTCATAGGGGACTCAGGGCAGATTACAATGCACATTTACATGGCAAACATTCAATGCCAATTAGACATACTACATATATAGACAGACACAGAGGCAATTTAACATCTCAGCTTTTTCTGGCTTCATAGCACGGAAAGAACTTACCCAGCTCAGTGGGCTCTTGGGAGATCAGGTTCTTAGGGTGAAAGCGCCTGTCCGGCTGGCACGCCTCCAGCTTCACAAAGAGCCCCCGCTTCGGCGGGCAGAGGAAGTAGCGAACGCCCTCAAACTCGCCATCTGAAACTCCTTTCTCTTCATCCTGTGAGGAAGAGCAACATTTCTGAGACCGACAGGAACAGAGGGATGGAGATTCTCTCTAAGAAGAGCTCGCCCAAACAACTAATTTCATAGAATCAAAGAGTTGGAAGAGACCTCATGGGCCATCCAGTCCAACCCCATTCTGCCAAGAAGCAGGAATATTGCATTCAAATCACCCCTGACAGATGGCCATCCAGCCTCTGTTTAAAAACCTCCAAAGAAGGAGCCTCCACCACACTCTGGGGCAGAGAGTTCCACTGCTGAACAGCTCTCACAGTCAAGAAATTCTTCCTCATGGTCAGATGGAATCTCCTCTCTTGTAGTTTGAAGCTATTGTTCTGCGGTTTAGTCTCCAAGGAAGCAGAAAACAAGCTTGCTCCCTCCTCCCTGTGACTTCCTCTCACATATTTATACATGGCTATCATATCTCCTCTCAGCCTTCTCCTCTTCTTCAGGCTAAACATGCCCAGCTCCTTAAGCTGCTCCTCATAGGGCTTGTTCTCCAGACCCTTGATCATTTTAGCTGCCCTCCTCTGGACACATTCCAGCTTTTCAATATCTCTCTTCATTTGTGGTACACAGAATTGGACATAATATTCCAGGTGTGGTCTAACCAAGGCGGAATAGAGCATGGGAGCATGACTTCCATGGATCTAGACACTATGCTCCTATTGATGCAGGCCAACATCCCATTGGCTTTTTTTGCCGCCACATCACATTGTTGGCTCATGTTTAACTTCTGTCCATGAGAACTCCAAGATCTTTTTCACACGTCCTGCTCTCAAGCCAGGCATTGTCCCCCATTCTGTCTCTTTGCATTTCGTTTTTTCTGCCAAAGTGGAGTATCTTGCATTTGTCCCAGTTGAACTTCATTTTGTTAGTTTTGGCCACTCAACTCTCTAATCTGTCCTCTGGAGTCTTGGCTCTCCCTCCCAATTGGCGTTGTCTGCAAACTTAATGATCCTGCCTTCTAACCCTTCATCTAATTTCTTATTGTTCAAGACAGCATGCTTTCAAGCGAGACACGACTTATACTGTGGCTGAACGTCAAGGGTGAATTTAGGTCAGAGGAAAGTGAGTAACAGAGATGAGTGTGCATCAGGCCACAGACTGCACCTAAATTGTGCTGGTAGCACGATTGGTTAATCAGGTGCAATAAATCACTGCTGATCGAAAGGTGGCAAGTTCGAAGCCCAAGTCGGGGTTGAGCGTCTGACTGTTAATAACTCTTAAAAAAAATAGCTTTTTTTTAAAAAAAATGCCCAGCTCACTGTCGACCTAAGCAGTTTGAAAACAGTTGTGAGCTGTGAGTAGAAAAATTAGGGACCACTTAAAGCAGGGAGACTAATTTATGATACCATAAAAATGCTGGAGACCAAGGAGGAAATACTACGATCAAAAAGGCTCGGCGTCGTAGTGGATGAAGCGATAGCTTCCCCTGTGGCCAAATTGAGCAACCTCTAGCAACATGGCCTCAGTCTGTCTGTATGTTTTGTATGTCAAAAACGGCATTGAATGTTTGCCGTGTATATGTGTATTGTTGTTGGGAATCAGACTATGTTTGTGTTTCAGGATCCTGGTGTGGGAAATGATGGTGCCGAGGCTGAGATGGTTTGGTCAATGATTTTCAGGCAGACAATGACAGAGAGGCCCCAGTGCAAAGGGCAGTTTCTCATGAGAATATTCCTGCTGGGCCTAGCAATGATAGTTCACTCCCTCTCTCTGTGAGCTCTCAAGATTTGGGTTTGGAAAACAATCTGACACCTTGGAATTTTAATGAGCAGCTAGATAGGGAGCTGAAGAACAGGTGGTTGGAGATTAGCCAGGATCGACAGCAAACTTAGTGTTTACGTATTTTTATCACACTTAAGAGTTAAAAGGGGCTAAGTCATTATGTGGGCTACTAACGCTGACACCCTTCACAGCACTCCCCTGTCCTGTCGCTCTCAAACTGCCTGGAAAAATGGAGCTGAAGGACATCAAAAGCACAAAAGCTGAGAACTCTTAGCATCACTTACCAGCTCTATCCCAGCCATTTTCTGCTGAGTTTTGGGCAGGCAGCCAATCCAGCGGATAGTTCCTGTGACTGGGTTCCCCTTCTCTAAGTTAATCTGAACCACGGAGTTGATGCTGAGTGGTGGCTTGCTTTCCTTCTCCTCTGCGCTCTCACTCCCCTTCCGCTTTGGCTGTTCTTGAAAAGGCCCAAAATCGGTGTCTAACTCAAGCCCTGGAAAGCAACACATTACTATTATTTATTTATTTACCGCATTTATCGTCTGCCCTTCTCACCCTGAAGGGACTCAGGGCAGATCACAGAACACATACATGGCAAACATTCAATGCCATTAAACAGACAGGACAGACAACAGAAAGAGGTATTATGTAGGCTTTGGCATCCTGGAGGTTGTGTTCGATTCCAGCCACACGGGGGTGCTCTTGCTCCATCTTCTATGACGAAGAGCCTTGATCACAGACTTCCTCCTTTCTTTGGCCAGCATTTTTCTGATATTTCTTTTATGGTGCCCTAAAATACCTCCCTGCTTAAGCGGTGCCTAATTTCTCTACTCGCAGCTCATAGCTGTTTTTGAACTGCTTAGGTCAGGGGTCCTCAAACTAAGGCCCGGGGGCCGGATATGGCCCTCCAAGGTCATTTAGTTCAGGGTCTGAAACGACTTGAAAGCACACAACAACAACAATCCTATCTCATCAGCCAAAAGCAGGCCCACACTTCCCATTGAAATACTAATAAGTTTATATTTGCAAATTGTTCTTCATTTTAATTATTGTATTGTTTTAAAGTGGTGGTTTTTTTTTTGCACTATAAATAAGGCATGTGCAATGTGAATAGGAATTCATGTTTTTTTCAAATTATAATCTGACCCTCCAACAGTTTGAAGGACTGTGAAATGGCCCTTTGTTTAAAAAGTTTGAGGACCCCTGGCTTAGGTGGACAGTAAGCTGGACTGAAGGTTGGATGCTCACCCCAACCCGAGATTCGAACTGCCAACCATTCGATTGGTAAGTTGTATTGTGGCTTGTGATTAACCAGCTGTGCTAAAGCCCAGCTGATGCATTTTGCAAATGATAAACATAGCAATTATTAGGTTCTTGTGGGTTTTTTCGGGCTATAGGGCCATGTTCTAGAGGCATTTCTCCTGACGTTTCGCCTGCATCTATGGCAAGCATCCTCAGAGGTAGTGAGGTCTGTTGGAATTAGGACAATGGGTTTATATATCTGTGGAATGGCTGGGGTGGGGCAAAGAGCTCTTCTCTGCTGGAGCTAGGTGTGAATGTTTCAACTGACCACCTTCATTAGCATTTGAAGGCCTGGCTGAGCCTGGGAAAATCTTTTGTTGAGAGGTGTCAAGATGTGCCTGGTTGTTTCCTCTCTGTTTCCTCTCTGCTCTCAACAAAAGATTTTGAAAGAGGAACATACTATAAGTTATATGTTTAGGGCAGTGTTTCTCAACCTGGAGGTCGGGACTCCTGGGGGGGGGTCACGAGGGGGTGTCAGAGGGGTTGCCAGAGACCATCAGAAAACACTGTATTTTCTGTTGGTCATGGGGCTTCTGTGTGGGAAGTATCTGCCGGAAGGTAGCAGCCAATAGTGAAAGGACTAAGGCAGAGACATCTACAGCTCATGCCCTGTTTGGGTATCAGCCAGCACATCAACGACTTAAATCTAGAAATAGTTTTCTAAGATCTACAGAGACACTCGCTGGAACACCTCAGCAAGCGAGAGTCCAAAAGTGGCAGGCTCAAACCCAGAACCTCAAGCAATGGCTGATACCAAATGAGAGACTCCCCCCTGGGCACACAGAGGACTGGGCGACTTGGAAGGCGCTGAACAGACTGCGCTCTGGCACCACGAGATGCAAAGCCAACCTTAAGAAACGGGGCCACAAAGTGGAATCCTCGGCATGCGAATGTGGAGAAGAGCAAACCACTGACCACCTGCTGCAATGCAACCTGAGCCCTGCCACATGCTCAATGGAGGACCTTCTTGCAGCAACACCAGAGGCACTCCAAGTGGCCAGATACTGGTCAAAGGACATTTAACCAACTACCAAACTCACAAGTTTTGTATTTTGTCTGTTTGTTTGCTTTGTTCTGTTAGAAATGTAATATAATGGACTGGTTGCTCTGATATGACAAATAAATAAATAATGTGTGGGAAGTTTGGTCCAATTCTATCATTGGTGGGGTTCAGAATGCTCTTTGATTGTAGGTCAACTATACATCTCAGCAACTGCAACTCCCAAATGACAAGGTCTATTTCCCCCAAACTCCACCAGTATTCACATTTGGGCATATTGTGTATTCGTGCCAAGTTTGGTCCAGATCCATCATTGTTTGAGTCCACAGTTATCGCTGGATGTAGATGAACTACAACTCCAAAACTCAAGGTCAAGGCCCACCAAACCCTTCCAGTATTTTCTGGAGGGAGGGCCCAAGTTTGCCCATGCCTGTTGTAGCCTCTAGGAAAGGGAACGCCCAAAGGCCCATTTACCTGGAGACAGCAGCTCATCTTTCACCACGTAATCCATGGGGATATTTCGGAAATTGTCTGTTGACCCTACTTCTTCCTACGAACCGGAAAAGAAAAACCATTACAGGTCAAAGTAAAAAATTGTGGTGGTAAGGGACTCCCATCCATTTTTTATTACAGGTTACAGTTTATTTATTTATTTATTTATTTACTACTCTCAGCCCACAGGCGACTCGGAGCAGTTTACCGTCAATATCAAAGACATAAAATACAATTTAAAAACAATCAATTTAAATATAAAACCAAGTAAAACAATCAATATCAATAAAAACATATATCAATTATTATGGATAAAGACATAAAAGACCAAGAAAGATCAGATGGAAGTCAACACAATTTTTTTTCTTTTTTTTTTTCCACCTGTTTTTGGACACTTTTTTTTAACTTTTTTTATCCTTTCTTCTCCTTCCCCTGGTTTTCCTTTTTTCCTACTACTTTCCTATCCATAAAATGTTCTCCCACTTTCGATGTAATCACTATAATTTTTTTTGGTTACTTCTCCTTCTTTCTATTTTTATGTATATTCTGAAAACCTCACTAATAATAAAAACATATATCAATTTGAGTCTCCTAGTTAAAAGCGTTATCCAATAACATCGTCGAGTCGTTCCGTTTTTCTCCATGTCTGTTATATTGTGTCTGCAAACGCTTGCTCAAAGAGCCACGTCTTGACCTGCTTTTTAAATGTTAAAAGGGAAAAGGCCGATCTAACATCCCTGGGGAGGATGTTCCATAGCCGAGGGGCCATCACCGAGAAGGCCCTGTCTCCTGTCCCCGCCAAACGTACTTGTGATGAAGGCGGGTGTAATAGATTCTAACCTTTGCCGACTAGGCCGAAGCCTGAGAGTCAGTAGGCTGGGTCTCCATCTTGGTGGGGAAGCTTAGAATAGCAGCCATCTTAGTATAGGCAAGGAGGCAAGGGGAGGAGTCAGCCAACTCCTGATTGGTTTAAGCACCAAGGGGAGGAGTTGGGTGAGAGTGAAAAAGGCTGTCACTTCTGACAGGAGAGAGAGAAGGGTTCCGAGAGAACAGAGAGAGGGATTCCAAGAGAGACAGGGAAAGATTCCAACAGAGCAGGGAGTAGGATTTCAACAGAGAAGAAGTATTATAGGCAGGGAGAAGGAAGCTTTTGAGTGAGTTGATCTGATAGGGAATAAAGAAAGGGACAAGGGCTTCAGTAAAACTAGACTAGGAGGGTCAGTGAGAAGACTTGTCAGCTTGTATTAAGGAGAGAATACAAGTAGGCTTATTGCCCTATAGTGGGGAGTAGACTACAAGAAGTCTGGTTACTCTGTAAGACAGCCAAGGTGACTGATCTTAGAAACACACTGTCTCAGAGGGTTGAATAGTGTGAAGTATGTAACTCACTTCAAATAAAAGCTACTCCTTCAGTAGAAACCTTATGTCTAGTATGCCTGAGCCTCAGTAACAAAAATACGCGTGTGTACCTCTCATTTTATGAGTTGTCATCTTCTTAAAGTTCAATAAACCGGTTATTCGTTCATCGTTAACTGGTCTCTGTCTCGGTCTGTCCTACTTAGTGAAACCAAGTCAGCCTGAACATCCTTATAGTCCAGTCAGCAAGCAAAGGAGTCTTAAAAGAAGAGCCAGAAGCCTAGGCACATATTACCTCAAATACATTCGCACCTTGTTTCCTCAAACAATAAAATTGAAGTGGTGGCGGCAAAAATCTACCAGTATCAACGGTCTCTCACATCATTAGTCATTATCTCACTCAAATTCCTGTCACACAGATGTGATAAGAGACCCGTCGTCGTCTCTCACGTTGCTTTCCCTTACAGTGGGGTTGAGAGCAGAGCCTCCCCAGACGAGCTTAACATCCTAGATGGTTCATAAGGGGAGGTGCGTTCAGACAGGTAAGTTGGGCCAGAACCATTTAGGGCTTTATAGGCTAAAGCCAGCACTTTGAATTGTGCCCAGTAGCAGACTGGCAGCCAGTGGAGCTGGCGCAACAGAGGAGTTGTGTGCTCCCTGTGTGCCGCTCCCGTTGGTAACATGGCTGCCGCTTGCTGGACCATCTGTAGCTTCCAGACAGTCTTCAAAGGCAACCCCACGTACAGAGCGTTGCAGTAGTCTATACAGGATGTAACCAGAGCATGGACTACTGTGGTCAAGTCAGACGTCCCAAGGTACAGCCGCAGCTGGCGCACAAGTTTTAATTGTGCGAATGCTCTCCCGATCACCACCGAAACCTGGGGTTCCAGGCTCAGCGATGAGTCCAGGATCACACCCAAGCTGCGAACCTGTTGCAGTTGCTCTTTGTCTCATTCGCCACCTGGGCAGAACCCGTCTTGCCAAGGAAGATGAGGGATACTTGCTTGTGGGATGAGGTTGGATGGGGTCACACCCCCCCTGAAGATGCAGGTACGCAGCTTGGGTGTGATCCTGGATTCATCGTTGAGCCCGGAACCTCAGGTTTCGGCAGTGACCAGGGGAGCATTTGCACAGTTAAAGCTTGTGCGCCAGCTGCGCCCATACCTATATGAGAGCCATGCGTGACCTAGGGCCTTTTACTCTAGCACTTAAGACTTGGCTTTTTACTAGAGCTTTTGATCTTTGTTAATTTTATCAATATCTGTATGTATGTATTTTTATCCTTTACAATTTTAGCTTGTAAATCGCCTAGAGCATCTTGGATGGAGGGAGATTAATAAGTAATTAAATGATGATGATGATACCGGTAATAACGTTTAAAACAGTAAATGGTGAGGGATCTCAGTGCCAAAAGGAATTCCTCACTTTAATATACACATGTCTGAGGATCTACATTCAGGTATGGGCAAACTTTGCCCGCCTAGTTGTTTTGGACTTTAACTCCCACGATTTAAAGTCATGGGAGTTGAAGTCCAAAACACCTGGACAGCCAAAGTTTGCCTACTGGCACCAACTCTGGTTTCATTTTGGCACTGTCGCAACAAGGCTCTTTTATGAAAGCCTCTCAGAACAAACAATTCAGAAAGATGAAAAGACAAAGATGAGGCACGCCTTACCGTACACACTTTAACCATCCAGGTGCTCCCCTCTTTGTATACATCCATGGCTATCCCGCGGGTGAAGGCGTCATCCACATAGAAGCCAATGGCATCCCCCACTTTCACCGGCATCGCCTGAGTTTCATCCAATTTCTCTGCCTTTTCCCCCTTTTCATTCTCCAGGCCTTGCAGAAACTGGAGTTTGTTAAACGGCACAAAAACGCCGCAATCCTGTTTACACTTGAAGTATCCCGTTGCATTATAGGAACCATCGCAGTGGCCTTTGCCTTCCCCGTCACCCTGCCGAAGAAGCAGATAGATTACATTAGATTTTGGGTCAAGAACTACCGTATATACTCGAGTATAAGCCGACCTGAATATAAGCCGAGACACCTAATTTTACCACAAAAAAAACTGGGAAAATGGATTGACTCGAGTATAAGCCGAGGGTGAGAAATGCAGCAGCTATTAGTAAATTTCAAAATAAAAATAGATACCAATAAAATTATATTAATCTAGGCATCAGTAGGTTAAATGTTTTTGAATATTTACATAAAACTGTAATTCAAGATAAGACTGTCCAACTCTGATTCAACCATTATTCTAACCTTCTTCAATGTAAATATGCTTACATGTCCTCCAATAATAACAGAGTAAAATAATAGTCATAATCATAATAATAATAGAGTAAAATAATAAGTGTAATAATAAAAATACAGTAAAGTAATAAATGTAATAATAACAATACAGTAAAATAATAAATGTAACAATAATAATAAATAGAGTAAATTAATAGATGTAATAATAACAATACAGTAAAATAATAAATGTAACAATAACAATAAGAGAGTAAAATAATAAATATAATAATAACAATAATCTATATAAATAAAAATGTAATGTTCGTTTGTGGGATTCACAGAACTCAAAAACCACTGGACGAATTAACACCAAATTTGGACACAAGACACCTAACAACCCAATCTATGTCCTTCATTCAAAAAAAATGATTTGGTCATTTGGGAGTTGTAGTTGCTGGGATTTATAGTTCACCTACAATCAAAGAGTATTTTGAACCCCACCAAAGATGGAATTGAACTAAACTTGGCACACAGTTCTCCCATGACCAACAGAAAATATTGGAAGGGTTTGGTGGGCAGTGTCCTTTGGTTTTGGAATTGTAGTTCACCTACATCCAAAGATAACTGTGGACTCAAACAATGATGGATCTGGGCTAAACTCTACACGAATACTCAATATGCCCAAATGTGAACACTGGTGGAGTTTGGGGAAAATAGAATCTTGACATTTGGGAGTTTTAGTTGCTGGGATTTATAGTTCACCTACAATCACAGAGCATTCCGAACCCCACCAATGAGAGAATTGGGCCAATCCACCCATGAGGGCCACAACAATACGTGGCAGGGGACAGCCAGTAAAATAATAAATGTAATAATAACAACAACAAAGTAAAATAATAAATAACACTGACTTAAGTATAAATCGGGGGAGACTTTTTCAGAATAAAAAAAGGACTGAAAAATTAGGGTTATACTTGAGTATATACAGTAATTCAGGTTAGACTGGATAGCATTGCTTTAGCTCAAGTTCGTTGTTGGTTTTTTATGCTGCAAACTGATTTTGTCATTTGGGAGTTGTTGGTTTTGTCATTTGAGAGTTGTTGGTTTTGTCATTTGGAAGTTGTTGGTTTTTTATGCTGCAAACAGATTTATTTTGTCATTTGGGAGTTGTAGTTGCTGGGATTTATAGTTCACCTACAATCAAAGAGCATTCTGAACCCCACCAACGATGGAATTGAGCCAAACTTGGCACGCAGTTCCCCAAGCAGGCAGGACCTCTTGTTGCATATATCAACACACCTAACGTTCCAGAACTAATGTGCAGAAGAAAATTCAGGAGTCATTCCATTAAAATTTCCACTAATAACATCACCACTGAAGGTGATGGCAAAAGAAATGAGCACAGCAAGTATGGAGAAAGCAATGCATCACACTGGAGAAATACGCTGATTTGACCTGCCTTCCTCACCAATGTTACACAACTCTAGAAAAAGTATAACTACTAGCTAGACGCATTGCCTGGATTGTGGCCAACTTTCACTTCTTGTTTTCTGATTCTACTGCTCCAATGGAATTTTTTTTCTGGAGTTAGTTCCCAGACCCATCATACAGCCTCTGCTTAATACAATTGTGTAAACCCAACTCCAATCATTAATTCTTAAACAAACAGCGTCTTTAGGCAGCAAAATCAGAAGGAGCAGATTGTTGGGCATGTGGACTGTTCTTTGAAGTAAAATAATATGGTTGCACTATTTACAACAATGGTTCCCAACCTTTTTTTGCCAAGGACCATTCTCTAATAGTACCCAAAGGGTTATGAATCTGTTTTTGGTCAACTTTAGATTTGGTTTGGGGTGCTGATTCAGAAAATTGCATTGGCGAGACCACATCAGCCCTAGTTTCTGATACAGAACATATGCCATGGTCAGCGACAGGGAAGGAGTGGCAGGTAGCATGAAAGGAGTAGAAATAACATAAAATAAATTGGAAGGAGGCTCACAGACCAGATTTTCATCCTCGCGATCCACCACAGGTTAAGAACCAGTGATTTACAAGAATAAGGTTTCCATAACACAAACAAACAAATACATAGTGGCTTTATACACAGCAGCCTTCACACTGGAGCTTTCTCACATGAGGCTTCTCTCACACCAGGGTTTACCTCACACTCCTCAGGACAACCAGGGACCACTCTCCAACATTAGAACCAAAAAGGTTACAAATCAGTTTTTGGTCAACTTTTGATTCGGTTTGGGATGCTGATTCAGAAAATTACATTGGATAGACCACATCAGCTCTAGTTTCTGATACAGAGCATATTCCATGGTCAGCAACAGGGAAGGAGTTGCAGACAGCATGAAAGGAGTGGAAATAAAATAAAGAGGAAGGAGGCTCACAGACCAGATTTTCATCCTCGCGATCCACCACAGGTTAAGAACCAGTGATTTACAAGAATAAGGTTTCCATAACACAAATAAACAATACATAGTGACTTTACACACAGCAGCCTTCACACTGGAGTTTTCTCACACACCGAGGTTTGTCCTCAGGACAAACGGAGACCATTTGACCAGGGACCACTTTGACCAGTGACCACTCTCAAAATTAGTACCAAAAGGGTTATAAACCAGTTTTTGGTCAACTTTACATTGGATAGACCACATCAGCTCTAGTTTCCGATACAGAACATATTCCATGGACAGCAACAGGGAAGGAGCAGCAGATAACACGATAGGAGTGGAAATAAAATAAAATACAGAGGAAGGAAGCTCATGGACCAGATTTTTGTACTCACGGCCCACTGGTGGCCCGCAGCCCACAGGTTAAGAACCAATTATTTACAAGAATAAGGTTTCCATAACACAAATAAACAAATACATAGTAGCTTTACACACAGCAGCCCTCACTCTGGAGCTTTCTGACATGAGGCTTCTCTCACACAGAAGTTTATCTCACACTCCTCGGGACAACACTAGCTTTAGCCTACTAACTCTAACAGGCTTCAGCCTACTAACTCCTTCAGTGCTTGACTCTTCAGAAATACCTACTGGTAGTTCATTTTTAATATTTATTACATAGATTACCATGGCATAGCCAAGAAAATCTATTTTTCCCTTCTATGTTACATCCAGGTTCGTAAGAGAAACATTCATAAACTTCCAAAGCTTGCACGTTGCAGTTTGAACACTGGGTGGGCCAAAGAAAACAAATAATAGTTTGCTCATTTCCAAAAACATTTCAGCAATCCGATCTTCCATAATTACACCCTTTATTCCAAGATGAAAGCAACAAGGCAATGGTTTTTTTTTCCTTCCACGAACAACATAGAACCACATCGAAGGATGGGAAAGATCTGCAAGCCTCAGGAATCCTGCCTTCCGAGACTTCCTCACCTGCAACTCTACTCCAAAGTAGACAGGGCAGTGTCCCAACGATGAAGGACTTCCATGAAGCTTCCCAATGTAGCAGATGGTGCCAGAGAAAGTCTGGTGGTTTAATTCTACCAAGACTTGCTGACCAAGCCTAGCGTTCATGGCAGCATCCAGAACGTGCTTCTGCAGAAAGCAGTTCAACCGTTCCTGAACGTTGGTGATGGCCAAAAGGTAATCAGCCATCTTCTCATTCAGAGGATGCAGCTTCTCAACATTCATTGTGACAACAGAGCCGTCTTCTTCCATGACGAACCTCCAAAAATGAGTAGATGCCAAGCTGATATACCGCAGGTAAGACAGCTCATCCACGTAGCACATGCTTCCTGCAGGAAATAGCTTACTGCCATAGGGTTCATCTTCAAGTAGGATATAAAAAATACTCTTATTCCTTTGTGGAGGCTGGCAGGAGGAGTACATGACTGCAGAATTCATCTTAAGCATTTCCTTCAGTCCTGAAACAAACAAAATCCACAATTACAACTCTTCCACCCTTTTAAACATAATATACCCTTCATCTAGGCCAGGCACAAATAGATGGGCTTTAGCATCGCTGGTTAATCACCAGCAGCAATAGCTCTTACCAATCAAAACGTTGGCAGTTCAAAGCCCGGGTTGAAGTGAGCACCCAACCTTCATCCCACAAGGATCCATTCTGCCCCCCATGCTATTCAACATCTACATGAAACCGCTGGGAGAGGTCATCCGGAGTTTTGGAGTACGGTGCCACCTCTATGCAGATGACGCCCAACTCCACTACTCTTTTCCACCTGAATCCAAGGATGCCCCTCGGATCCTGGACCAGTGCCTGGCTGCTGTGACAATCTGGATGAGGACAAACAAGCTGAAGCTCAATCCTGACAAGATGTCATATGTTCCATAGTTGATGGTGGTTGGTGGTGGTAGACCGGGCAATTGGTGGTGATGGAAGAGTTAATGTACATCTTGGTTCTAAAGGGCTGAGTAGTTTGTAAGTAACAGTTTACAGGTAAAAGCAATTAAGGGTGGAGGTATGCAGGGGATAAGTTGCAGCTGGGTGCTACTGGATTTAAGGAGCTAACCTTGGGACTGATCTTCAGGAGAAAAGTATTGTCATATTTTGGTGGTAGATGCTGCTTGTCCCCCCCCCCCCCCCCAGGTCTGTTGGATTTTCGGTATCCTGACCTGTCTCCTGTAATCTTGGAACCCTGGAACCTTTAATCTTTGGACTGGCTTTTAACTATGGTATAGACCTGGAGTCCTCAAACTAAGGCCCGAGGGCCAAATATGGCCCTCCAAGGCCATTTACCCGGCCCTCGCTCAGGGTCACCCTTAGTCGAAATGACTTGAAAGCACACAACAACACTCCTATCTCATCAGCCAAAACCAGACCCACACTTCCCACTGAAATACTAATAAGTTTGTTGTTGTTCATTCGTTCAGTCGTCTCCGACTCTTCGTGACCTCATGGACCAGCCCACGCCAGAGCTCCCTGTCGGCCGTTACCACCCCCAGCTCCCTCAAGGTCAGTCCAGTCACTTCAAGGATGCCATCCATCCATCTTGCCCTTGGTCGGCCCCTCTTCCTTTTGCCTTCCACTTTCCCCAGCATAATTGTCTTCTCTAGGCTTTCCTGTCTCCTCATGATGTGGCCAAAGTACTAATAAGTTTATATTTGTTAAAATTGTTCTTCATTTTAATTATTGTATTGTTTTTAATTGTTGTTGCAGTACAAATAAGATATGTGCAGTGTGCATAGGAATGCATTCTTTTTTTTTTCAAATTATAATTTGGCTCTCCAACAATTTGAGGGACTGTGAGCTGGCCCTCTGTTTAAAAAGTTTGAGGACCCCTGGTATAGACTCTTGATCCCTGGACTTTGTTTACTGAACATTTGACCACTGGACATTTGACCCTTTGACTACGGTGTATCTTTTGCTTTCAGTTTTTGTTTATTCTGTGGTTGACTGCTATCTTTATGTTTTATATTTTGGTCTATTAAAACAGCCAGCAAGTAAGTGCTGTTTTAACTAAACTGTTTGATAAAACTGGGAGTTTGGTTCATCTCTACCTAAATAAGGCAGAGCCCTGGCAACGTGACACAAGACAGAGGTCCTCCAGGTCAGTCGTACACCCAACTGGGGTATTATTGGGTGGCAACCTGTGCTGGACGGGGTTGCACTCCCCCTGAATGGAGGAAGGTATAATACTAATTAGATCATTTGGCAAACTAGACTGATATCCAGGAAATTCCTTGGACACACTAAAATAACTTCTTCTTCTTCTTATTATTATTATTATTATTATTATTATTAGTGATGCGCTTTAAGTCCCATTCTAATATAATAATAAATAAAAATATATATTACCAGTATATTAAATTAATATAATGCATAACATATACAACTATAAACTACATATAAATTATAAATAATAATAATAATATGTTTGTGAGGTGCTTAAAATCCCACTCTCATATAACAATAAATATAAATATATATTACCAGTGTATGAAATTCATATAATGCATAATATATAAAATTATAAACTACATATAAATTATATATAATAATAATAATATGTTTATGAGGTGCTTAAAGTCCCATCCTAATGTAATAATAAATATAAATATATATTACCAGTGTATGAAATTAATACGATGCATAATATATAAAACTATGAATTATATATAAGTTATATATAATAATAATGTTTGTGAAGTGCTTTAAGTCCCATAATATATAAAATTAAAATAATATATGATACATTAAATACAAACATTAAATTAATATAAACCATTAAATTATTAATATAATACATAAATCATAAATATATAATACATAATATATTAAATTAATATAATAAATAATACATTGAAATAATATACTATATAACATACAAAATTAATAATATATATTAAATGAATATAAAATATTAAATGAATATAATATATAATGTGTATTATAAATAAATATATAATACATAATATATTAAATTAATATAATACATGATACATTAAAATAATATACTATATAACATAATATATAAAATTAAAATAATATATGATACATTAAATTAATATAATAGAATTATTAAATTATTAATAAATATAATACATAAATCATAAATATAAAATATTAAATTAATGCAATACACAATGCATTAAATAATATACTATATAATATATTAAATTAATAATAGATATTAAATGAATATAATACATTAAATTAATACAATATACAAAATATTATATATTACCAGTGTATGAAATTAATATAATGCATAATATATAGAACTATAAACTACTTATAAACTATATATAATAATAATAATGTTTGTGAGGTGCTTTAAGTCCCATAATATATAAAATTAAAATAATATATGATACATTAAATATACACATTAAATTAATACAATACACAATACATTAAAATAATATACTATATAATATATAAAAGTAATAATATATTAAATTAATATAATACATTAAATTATTACAATATATAAAATATTAAATTAATACAATATATAATTATAAAATTAATATAATATATTAAATGAAGATAATATATAATGTGTATTATAGATAAATAAATATATAATACATAATATATTAAATAATACATTAAATTAATATAAATTATTAAATTATTAATAAATATAATACATAAATAATAAATATAATATATAATACATAATATCTTAAATTAATATAATACACAATACATTAAAATAACATACTATATAATATATTACATTACTATTAAATTAATATAATACATTAATACAATATATAAAATATTAAATTAATACAATATATAAATATAAAATTATCATAATATATTAAATGAATATAATATATAATGTGTATTATATATATATATAAATCATTTAAATACAAGTTTCAAATGAAACGAAACCAATAGTAATAACACCAACCTGGGAAAATACCACCCACCTCCTCCTCCTTCGACGCTTCGCCTCCTTCTGAGCTAAAACCAGGAAGTGTCTAGGGAAAGCCCCCGCCCTCTAATGCCCTCAGCCAATCAACACCCAAAACGGAGTGAAAGGCGTGCAAGAACCTCTCCGTTTGTCCAATCGGAAAAGAGCAGAGGCGGGACCAACTTCCCTCCCCCTCCCCGCCTTCAGAGGAGGGATTGGTCCGTACAAATGAATCTGCGCATGCGCAAATAGGGAACTATGCTTAGGAGCACGGTGCTTTCTGATTGGCCGGGCCTCCCCAGGAGCCCGCCTCTCTCCTTAGGAAGGAAGGCTTACTTGTTGCGCATGCGCAATCGAGAACTTGCTTGCCAAAGCAGCTACAGGAGAAAAAAGACATTACTGTATTGTTGTATTATGTATTATTATATTGTAAAATGCATCATGCATTGTGTTATTATTGTATTATTATGCATTGTAGTATATTATAATGTATTGTATTATGTTATAATATGTATTATTATTGCATTATTATGTATTGTAGTATAATATTATATTATAATATAATAATACAATTATATTATAATATATAAGTATATTATATTATAATGTATTATGATATTATATGTATTATTATTGCATTATTATGTATTGTATTATTATATTATAATATAATGTATCAATATATTATATTTTAATGTATTATATTATATTATATGTATTATTGCATTATTATGTATTGTATTATATTATAATGTATTATGATATTATATGTATTATTATTGCATTATTATGTATTGTATTATGATATTATAATATAATATAATAATACAATTATATTATAATATATCAATATATTATATTATAATGTATTATATTATATTATATGTGTTATTATTGCATTATTGTGTATTGTATTATATTATAATGTATTATGATATTATATGCATTATTATTGCATTATTATGCATTGTATTATTATATTATAATATAATATATCAATATATTATATTATAATGTATTATATTATATTATATGTATTATTATTGCATTATTATTTATTGTATGATATTATAATGTATTATGATATTATATGTATTATTATTGCATTATTATGTTATAATGTATTATGATATATGCATTATTATTGCATTATTATGTATTGTATTATTATATTATAATGTATTATGATATTACATGCATTATTATTGCATTATTATGCATTGTATTATTATATTATAATTTAATATATCAATATATTATATTATAATGTATTATTTTATATTATATGCATTATTATTGCATTATTATGTATTGTATTATGATATTATAATATAATATAATAATACAATTATATTATAATATATCAATATATTATATTATAATGTATTATGATATTATATGCATTATTATTGCATTATTATGCATTGTATTATTATATTATAATGTATTATGATATTATATGCATTATTATTGCATTATTATGTATTGTATTATTATATTATAATGTATTATGATATTATATGCATTATTATTGCATTATTATGTATTGTATTATTATATTATAATGTATTATGATATTGTATTATGATATTATAATATAATATAATACAATTATATTATACTATATTAATATATTATATTATAATGTATTATATTGCATTATTATGTATTGTATTATTATATTATAATATATTATGAAATTATATGTATTTTATTGCATTATTATGTATTGTATTATGATATAATATCATAATACAATTATATTATACTATATCAATATATTATATTATAATGTAGTGTGTTATTATATGTATTATTATTATTGCATTATTATGTATTGTATTATTATATTATAATATAATATAATAATGCAATTATATTATATATATCAATATATTATATTTCAATGTATCACAACTATAATTATATTGCATTATTATGTATTGTATTATTATATTATAATATAATGTATCAATATATTATATTTTAATGTATTATATTATATTATATGTATTATTGCATTATTATGTATTGTATTATATTATAATGTATTATGATATTATATGTATTATTATTGCATTATTATGTATTGTATTATGATATTATAATATAATATAATAATACAATTATATTATAATATATCAATATATTATATGTATATATTGCTATGTATTATATAATAATTGTAATAAATATAATAAAACAATAATACTAATTAATCTTATACGTTATAGCGAATTTTACTGATATATGCAGTACTAGTTGCAGTAAATGTATTGACTATTTATTATATATACTTAGTCCATACTACAATTTATAATTATTATTTAGTATATTATTTTATAAGTATTATGATATCTATATGCATTATTAGTGCCATTATTTATGTATTGTATTTGCTATATCATAATATAATAGAATAATAGAATATATTAGTAATATATTAATATTATTGATCATTTGTACAGCAAATGAATCATTGACTCATTGATTGATATTATGTATGGTATTATTACTATTATAATATAATATAAATATAATACTATATTTATAACAAATTTATATTTTATTCTACTGTATTATGAATTATCTGTATTGATTAGATGATGTATTATATGCAATCATATAATAAAATACATAATTTTATATTATAAGATATTATATTATTATATTATATTATATAATATATTATATTATATTGATTGTATATTATTATATATTATATATATATTATATATTATTATACTATATTATATTTATATTATAATTATTATATTATATTATATATTATTATATAATTATAATATAATTATATAATTATATTATATATATAATGTATTATAATGTATTATATTGCATTATTATGTATTGTATTATTATATTATAATATATTATGAAATTATATGTATTTTATTGCATTATTATGTATTGTATTATGATATAATATCATAATACAATTATATTATACTATATCAATATATTATATTATAATGTAGTGTGTTATTATATGTATTATTATTGCATTATTATTTAGCGTATAATTATATTATAATGTATTATAATGTTATATGTATTATAATTGCATTATTATGTATTGTATTATTATATTATAATATGTATTATTATTGCATTATTATGTATTGTATTATTATATCATAATGTAATATAATATAATACAATTATATTATATCAATATATTATATTATAATGTATATTATATTATATGTATTATTATTGCATTATTATGTATTATATTATTATATTATAATGTATTATGATATTATATGTATTATTATTGCATTATTTACAGTATTTATATTCTTATTTACAGTATTTATATTCCGCCTTTCTCACCTTGCAGGGGATTCAGGGCGGATTACAATGCACATATATATGGCAAATATTCAATGCCATTAGACATACAACATATATAGACAGACACAGATGCAATTTCCCATTCCAGCTTCATAAGGTTATGCTTAATTCCGACCACAGGGGGAGCTGCTGCTTCACCATCAGCTTTTGACACTGCATCTATGATGGAGTACTTCCTCATTCTTACGCATGCTGCTGGAAGGTTTTATGGCATCGTAAATTAGTTAAATTAACCTCCCCCCATAAAGCAGTACCTAAATTTCCTGCTTGACAGCTGCAACTTTCAGGCTGCATAGGTCAACAGCAAGCTAGACTATTAATGGTCAGGAGCTCACTCCAACCCAGGTTGGCTTCGAACTCCTGACCTTTTGGTCATGTATTGTATTATTATAATACTATAATACTGTATTATTATGCATTGCATTATTATTACTGTTGTTATTATTTGCTAAGTTTGAGACTCAAAGCAGCTCAAAATTTAAATGAACAAAACAAAACTTACAGGTTTCCAATTGTGATTTGTATTTAATGTCATGATGTACTTTGAATCTCGTTTAAGAGAGGAGAGCGGGATTTATAATAAATAAATACTATATAATATTTAGCAATAGTAATAATAATATTTATCAGTGTCAATGTTTATTTTACAAGTCAGAATTGTTGCCGCTGATGTTGTTGGGCTCCAGTTGGGGAAAAAAGGTGTGATATAAGTTGAATTAATTAAAAAATACATTCCCATGGTAGCACTGCTGAGCTGCTGAACTTGCATACTGAAAGGTTGCAGGTTCGAATCCAGGGAGCAGGGTGAGCTCCTGCTGTTAGCCCCAGCTTCTGCCAACCTAGCAGTTTGATAACATGCGAATGTGAGTGGATCAATAGGTACTGCTCTGGCAGGAAAGTAACAACGTTCCATGCAGTCATGCTGGCCACATGATCTTGGAGGTGTCTATGGACAACGCCGGCTCTTCGGCTTAGAAATGAAGATGAGCACCAAACTTTAGACTAGATTTTAATGTCAGGGGAAAACCTTACCTTACCTACATTTCTGTGCATTTTGGGGGAATATTCTGGCATTTTTTCGGTGGGGTTAATGGCATGGGAAGGGAGGAAAGAACTCAAAAACAGCTTTGAGACTGGCTGATTTATTGTAGTTACAGCATAATAAATAATAATAAATCACAGAACAAGAAAAACAAATAATAAATAAGGAAATAGAAGAGGAGTAATGAAAAAAGAGGAAGGAGAAGAACCTCATGCTCATCATCTAGAAGTCATTTGGACAAACAGACTGATAACTATGGGAATATAACAATAACAATAGTTAATTGGCTCATTCAGGAGGAAATTACCTGCAGTTACCCTGTTTGGTCGCTAGAGGGAGCGTGAACCTAATTTAAGACCAAAAGCAAAACAAACCAGAAACTTTTCACCTGTTTTGTTTTGCAAAATGGTTAATTACCTGCATTGCTCAGATTGCATTGCAGATGAAGGATGAAAAGGCTGCTTTCAAATACCTTTCCATGCCAATTGGGCAGAAGAGGTTAATTGTTAATATGGGGCAGAATAGTTGAATTGCTAATTTTGACAAAAACAGACAGCTTAGCTGGCAGGTAATGCCATTGCAAAAGCAATGTTTTAGGATGCAGGTGTGGAACGTTGTTGTTGT